AGTTGAAGAATGATTAGCCCTCCTGTATATTTTTTCCCCCAATTTCTGTTTATTGTAGAGAGGATTTTTTCAACACATTTCTAAACATAATAGTTTAAATAACTCATTTCTAATAACTGATTTTTTAAAATCTTTGCCATGATGACAGCACATAATATTTTACTAGATATTTTACTAGTATTCAGCTTAAAATGACATTTAAAGGTTAAAAAGACCCAGTGAAGGACTTACAAACTGCCAAGAAATGGATACGCAATGCATTTGTCAACAAATCAGGTGAATCCAGCATGTCTGAAGATCAACTGCTGGAGATCAAAAATGACGATATTGCGTCTTTTCCGCTCACAAGTCTGTTATTTCCAATCAAAGTCTCTTTAAGGGGAGTAATTTACTTGGCAGCCATCTTGTTGGGGCATTCTGTCTGAATGGGGAAACATCAAACTCTCCAAAACTGTTTGCCAAGCTTACGATTACAGTAAATACAGTATTTGGAATCACCAATAAAATTAAACAACATCTGTCTCATAAGTTTAGCTTCTAAACGTTCAAATCAAAATAGGCATATTTTCAGGTTACGTGAGCTAATGAGCATGCGCACCCGTAATGAACAAGATCACAACACCAACCTCATTAATGGCAGTGGTATACATTATCATCCTCTGGATAATGATCGTCTGGTCGCACTGGTCTTCTGAAGTAATTTACAACTCGTCTTGATGGCGATTCTCCTCCAGAAATGACAGCGACGCTTTGTTTACAAATTTGTTGGTGATTTATTAGTTGCTGCTGTCATGTGATGTGCGTTTGACAAGATGGACTGTACCCCGCCTTCATTTCATATTTCATGCAGATTACAAAAGTAAAAACCTACGTGTTGTTTTTTTTTTTATTTAAAAGCACAGAGTTCAAACTTTATATGGATGTTTTTTTATGTCTGTGAAGCAGGTATTCGCAGAGATTCCAGTTTGTTTGTTGATCACCAAACTGTCGTAAAAACAGTTAGTTTCCCCCAGAGAAAAGTCAGTCTATAAAGCTTGATGATTGGCTCCTGTACTAGTACACAGCAAAATCCTCTGGGTAAAATTTACTCAGTTTAGAAAGTATTTGGTCCCTCTTTGAATTTAGTTAATGTTACTTAGGTTAATGAAACATTGAAAGCATTGAGTAAGTGATGATTGAGGACTGATGATGAACACCTGTCGTTATTAAGCAGAAACACAGAAGAGAAACACAAAACTACAACTGACTTCACATGAAATCACAGCCTTAGATGAAATCAGCTGAAATATAATACACTGAATCTCTCAAAATCTCAGCAGAAGATCAACTGGATCAATAAGCAACTCCACAAATTACTAACGTTACTTACTATAAAGTAAGATAAAGTTTGCCTTACTATAAAGAGGGAAAAAATACTCTCTGAACTGAGTAGATTTTACTCATTGGATTATGCTGTGTAGACGGGGCTTCATTCACCATGTTGACACTTTTCCCTATTCAAAACTTTCTTGTGTATTTTATAGTCTTTGTCTAAACTTTTCAGAATGCCGCGAGTCGCGTAACAAGGATATGAATAAGAATATACAGTGCTCAGCATAATTGAGTACACCACATTTTGAAAATTAATATTTCTATCCATTTCTCAGTGAATATAGGCAATGTATTTTGGTGCATTTAAAACAAAACAGGTTTATTAAACAGATATATTTATTAAAATATTATTTTAGTCACAGAACATCTTTAGAAATTGAAAGATAATATAATTAAATTCAAGCAAAATATTGAAAAAAAAAAGTTTTTTGCTTCTTGATTTTTTATCTTTTTTAAAATTTGCATTTATATTTTTCTCTAACATATAAATTTGGGTGTACGTAAGTTTTTTTTTTAGATAAGCTCCAGATTTGGCCTTAGTATTGACTAATCTAATGTATATGCAAAAATATAATATATATAACTTCCTATTAAAAATATGAACTTAAAAGATAGATTTGTGAGGGGTGTTCTTATATATGCTGAGCACTGTACATATTCAGACAAACACAGAATGACCAAACACTGCAGTGCTTTTAAATTTTTTTAAAGATAAAACTTATTAAAGTTGCAGCAATAATTTTTTCATCATCTGAGAAAACGGTTGATGGTTGCCTAGCAATCTACATACACCAGCCACTTTGGGTGGTGGTAAAATTGTCAATCATTGACCGGTCCGCGGTGATAAAAAGGTTGGGGAAATAATAAATGATGGGCAAATTACCATCATTTATAATTTGTTGCGTGGCTGTTGAGATCCCGATCTTTTAATGTTGACCAGTCCGCATTGATAAAAAGGTTGGGGAAATTATAAATGATGGGCAAATTACCATCATTTATAATTTATGTTGCGTGGGTGTTGAGATCCCGATCTTTTAATGATTAATCATGCAGCTTACATTAATTGCATTAACCTGCATTACATTAATGCAGGTTAAACAAGTAGTAACAGAAGTCACCTTTAATAACCTGAGAAACCCACCACATCCCGAATAACCTACCACAACTTCTTCCAACATCATTATATTTTACAGGAAAGCCTAAATGCTTTCATACATGTGATCTGAATGTGCGAGAGGCAATCTGTCTGTGATCGTTACAAATTTAGGATTCATCTACAAGTAAAAAAAATTGTTAATTCGTGGGCCACATGTGTTTCGAATCATGGGTTGTGATCCAGATGGGTTGTGGTACAGATCCGTTACACCCATAGTTTTAAAAAAATAATTTAAACTATTTTTTATTCTAGCTGAAATAAAACAAATAAGATAATCTCCAGAAGAAAAAATATTATAGACAATACTGTGAAAAATTCCTTGCTCTGTTTAACATTATTTGGGTAATATTCAAAAAAGAAAAAAATTATAGGAGGGCTAATAAATTAGACATTAACTATACATAAACCTCGCATCGAACCCTCAGAAAGTCTCAAATACATGTGTGTAAAATATTACAAAGTCATATTGAGGTCACTACAGTATTTCAGCCTGACAGGGTGCTTTATTTAAAATCTAAAACAGGATGTTTCCTTTTGTTCTGAAAGTTAATCATACAGGGGAAATGCTTTAGAGGAATATGCTTTTCCTTTATGATGTGTAAGTGTGATCCAGGTGTAGTATCAGGTATGTTTATGTGTGTTTGACCTTTCGGAGGATTCGGTCCAGATGGCTGCGTCCGCATCCCCTACTGAGACACACATGTGCCGCTCTGTGTATCAGAGGATACGATCTCCTCAACTCTTTATTGATACTAAAATATGTCATTTTTTCTCTCCCACAGGAAGCTAAAGGAGACTTCACGAGGTAAGAGGCTGTTTGAATGAATGAATCACCTTCCATTGACCTCTTTCACACACACACATACACATGCACACACTATCAAATCTCTATCAGTGTGTCACTGCGGAGTGAAAGCAGATCCAATTTGTGGCATATTTCAAACTCTCCTTCCCACATAAGCACATGTGCACGATTTAAGAGAGAAAGAGAGAGAGAAAGAGAGATATGGGGGTGTGAACCCTGGGAACGGAGACAGAGGGGAGGAAATGGAATGCAGAGGATAAACAGTGTTAAATTACACACACTAACCTCTCGCTCTCTCTGTTACACACACACGCTTCTACGCATAGCTATCCTTCTAGCTTTATTCTGTCACTCGGCGTCTGATAGTTTTCTTCGACTCTATTTCCTCTATCTTTTACACTTCCTATCAACCTCCCCGGAGCACTAGCATACTGTTTCAGTTTTTGCAGTTTGCTGTATATAAAGAGTTTGTATGCTTGAAATGCTCTGATAATCTGGTGTACAACTCATAGTATGTAAATAACATATGTGGCCAGAGAATTGAGTTATTTTACGTCTCTATACTTGACTTATGATTTCATTTGAAGATGATAACTGTTTGAAGATAGTCATGTCATTTATTTATGCACTTATTATTTCAATTGCATTTTGCAACACATGATACTGGCAATGAAGTTGAGGATCCAAATGCAGTGTCTTTATTTACAAGAATAATCATTCAGGCAATGGTCAATCACAGGAGCAAACGGGTACATACAGGGCAATCCAAAAGAATAGTCGGGTTATAGGCGAAGAGATCGGTCCAGGCGGCTCACAGCATAAACAATACAGAAAGCGAGGGTCAGGAAACACGGCACAGATAGACAAAACAAGAAAATGCTTCATAATGCTACAGGTTAACAAGACTCAGCAAAGTGTATATGTGTGTGAGGTGAATATAAACTCCAGGTAATCAGTCCATGATGAGTTACCAGCTGTGTGTGTGTAATCAAGGGGAATCAGAAACTGGTGTGTGTGTGTGTGTGTGTGTGTGAGGTGCACGATGGTATTTGTAGTCCAGTTCAGTGACTGATGTGTAATTCTCCAGCGATCTGCAAGGATTAGATAGATGGTGATTGTGGCACATTTATTTATTTATTTAACAATAATAATTATTATTAATAACAACAATAAAACTAATGATAAATTTTAAGTGGTTTTACTAAAGTGGTTCACTCATTTTTTTCTTCTCTCTCAATGCTGAATTTATAATGATCGTTGAGTTGATCTTGTAATTAATATAGTATATATTAATAATTATATTAGTATTGTTTAGATATTCTAACGATTCATGAGACCATGGTGTTCAAAAGAAACTCCAGACGCACCTGATCTCTGTTACCCTGATGAAGGCAAGTGTTTGCCAAAAAGCATAGACAGAATTTTAAGGTACAGCCAGGTCAATATGGCTTTTTAATATTTGTTCCACATTTTTCAAGTGCCTTAAACTTACTTTTGTGGTTTACCAAGTCATTATAAAGAGAAATATGAATTAAAGATGCAGTAATAATTTATTTGTATTATATATTTTGTATTACATTTATTTATTATGTTTTTTTATATTATTTATTATTATTAATATGTCAAAGTGTTTTACATATCCACGATAAGCAGAAACATTTAAAGATTCACAATGATTTAAATTTTTTGTTATTTTTATTTCATTATGCTTAAAAAGATTTCTGTCATTTTGAATGTGCTTTATAATAAGTATTATAATATATACCGTTAATATTATAATAATTTTATTCTTTATGAATTAAATAAAATTTTCTTTGCAGTGTATACACCTTGATTCATTGAGTAATAACTAGAAGAATAGCACAATGTAGTAAACAGCTAAGTGTTTGCATTACAAAGAAAGTATCATTATTATTTCTTTATTGGGAGAGTACAAAAAATACATTGGATTATTAAAATGCTGAAGAAAAATGCCTTAGCTTATGCTAAGTTACATGAATTATAATACATTAAAAAGTAATGGCAAAAGTAGCTGAATACACTGTATTGTACAGCTAAATGTAACTGCAAGCAGATGCCACCAGTAGTCTGACACAGTTCAAGATTTACAAATGATAGCACCCGCAATCTTACATGCAAAATAAGAAGACATTTGCTATTCATTGATTAATAATGGCTGATATGTTTTTCCTAATTGTTTCTATTTCTAAGCATTTTTTGTGTTTTTTGCAGTAATGATGTTACTAGGGCTGATCTGAAGAAACTGCCAGCACTGCCTACACAAGCACTGAAGGAACACCCTTCTCTCGCATACTGGTGAGAAACACACACACACACACACACACACACACACACACAGCTGTCAGCTGATAATGGAGAGGTATTAACGAGAGGTTTCTGCTCTGTGGTCTCGCAGCACCATGGGAAAGGATTCCCTGGAATAATTCGCTAACCTAATTTACCTCGAATTACGTTTGATACGAATGAAGCATTTCACAGATGCTGCCATTCAGAAAAAAAACAACACTTACACATTCATACTGAGCAGACGGGTGTACTTTCTGTTCTCGGAGTGAACTTATCTGCTTGGTGGTGTTGTGTTTCATTGGCTACGTCTCTGTACATCTGTAAGCTTTCACACTTGTCTTTTTTTTCGGGTTCCTGTGGAATTGAAATAGGCTGACGGCCACGTTCTCATGAACATTGTCATCTGGTGCCTCTAATGTGTGTGTGTGTGTGTGTGTGTGTGTGTGTGTATTGTGTTGCAGTGAGGACCGGGTCATTGAGCACTATAAGAAGCTAAGTGGACAGTCCAGAGGCCAGGCTATCGTCAAGTAAGATAACAAAAACAAACTTTCACTAAAAGTTTGATTGCAAGAAAGTGTGTTTTTCAACTTAAAGGGCTTGTTCACTCAGCAAATTCTAGCATCATTCATTCTTAGTTTTTTTTCTGTAGAATACAAGAGATATTTTGAAGAATGTTTCAGCTGTCCATTTTATCAAAGTTAACGGAGACAGTCATAGCACTCGGTCACATGATATGCCAATTTGATGTTTTGGACTTCATTTAAGGGATAGTTCACCCCAAAAAAGAAAATTAACTCATTCTTGTGGTCTTAAAAACTTTGAGTTTCTTTCTTCTGTTGAACACAAATTTATTTTGAATATTGTAAGTCAATGGGTGTCAGCTATCAGCATTCCTAAGAATATCGTCTTTTGTGTTCAACAGAAGAAAGAAACTCAAATCCCTCAAAGAGTACTCAAAGAGTAAATGATGGCAGTTTTCATTTTTGAGAGAACTATCCCTTTACATTTCACACTGCAAAAAAGGCTTTTTTACTTTAAGTTTTTGTCTTGTTTCTAGTGTAAACATCTAAATCTCTTAAAACAAGAAGTCTTAAATACTGCCTTTTTTTGATAAATAATATTTCAAAATCAAGGGAGTTTTCCACCTTAAAACAAGCTAAATGATCTGCCAATGGGGTAAGCGAAATAATCAAAAAGAAAATAATATTTTAAATATCTTAACCTGTTGGCAGATCATTTAGCTTGTTTTATTGAAAAACTCATTTAATTTTGAGATATAATTTTTTTCCTTTATTTTGATGCCAAGTACAGATGTCATTATTTATACAGAAATTTTTATATACAGTTAAAGTCTGAATTATTAGCCCCCCTTAATTATTAGCACCCCTGAATTATTAGCCCCCCTTCTTATTTTTTTTCTTAGTTTCTGTTTAAAAGAGAGCAGATTTTTTCAACACATTTCTGAACATAAAAGTTTTAATAACTTGTTTCTAATAACTGATTTATTTTATCTTCGCCATGATGACAGTAAATAATATTTGACTAGATATTTTTCAAGATACTTCTATCCAGCTTAAAGTGACATTTAAAGGCTTAACTAGTTTAATTAGGGTAACTAGGCAGGTTAGGGTAATTAGACAAGTTATTGTATAACGATGGTTTGTTCTGTAGACTATCGGAAAAAAATCCCCAGTGATGGGTTGCAGCTGGAAGGGCATCCACTGCGTAAAACATATGCTGGATAAGTTGGTGGTTTATTCCGCTGTGGCTAAGCCGAAAAAGAAATGAATGAATGAACAGTGTCAGTATAACCTCTCTAGCCTGTATAATGTTATAATGCAAGAGGGAATCTGATAATGAAAAATGTCGGATTTTACCAGTGAATAAAATGGTCTAATAATGTTGTCAATGACTAATGACCAGCATATGTCTCAAACATAATAATTCTACTTCAGAATCATGAATAATTATATTCTGATGTAGTCACTTTACTGTGAATTATCAACCAGGACGCATTTAAAGTCATTCCAAGTCTATACAAAATGTAGCATTTTAACCAACTGTAGACCTGCACGTAGGCCTAATATTATTGTTGTTTTATCATATGTTTGAGTATAACAATAATAATAACCGACTCACATTAACCTTTCTTTTACATCTATAGAATCGTGAGAGAATCGTGATCTTGATTTTATGCAAAAAAAATTGTGATTCTCATTTTAGCCAGAATCTTGCAGCCCTGAAATCTAAATTGTTGAATACAAAAAAACCAAAGTGAAATGTTTGGCTTATTTCATTGCCTGATTCAATATCTAATACAATGACGTTAATGTGTAAAGTATCCAACCCAGGCTGATTCTGGAAACGTAGCCCCGCAGACGTTTCAGGAGACCGCGATTTACGTGGCCCTAGGTACGTATGGCCGCATTTCGTTTTTTTCCGAGCGAACACTACGGAACGGCTGGGCTGACGGCTCACGTCCGTGTGGAGGGCTTTCCCGCCGCAACCAGTTTGTCTGCTTAGCTTGTGGCGTTATGTCGGCGGAGCGGAGGCCCGGAGGAAGAGGAGCCGGCGGCGGCGACGACAGGGTTCGAGTCCAGGGAAGAGCGGTTCCAGAAATCAGGTAAGATGAAAAACAGAATCCAAAAAATATCCGAAATCCGAAAACGCGGTCACAATCGGACGAGGGCTTTTGCTTTTTTTTTTCCGGAAGGCTTTTGCAAATCGTCGCTTAGGTTTAGGGAAGGAGGAAGAGGAGGACGGCTGGGTTGCCCGCCCAGTCGATCGTTCGGTCATTTAGTCAGTCGGACAGTGGGTTGGACGGTCGCTCGACAGCGGTCTCCGGCGGCTTTTCACGAAAGGACAGCGCGGGCGCGAAAGGCGCGCTCCCAAGAGGCATTCGAGACGTGAAAAAAAAGTGCGCACAGCGGCCTCTCGAAAACAAAAACTGCACAAATACGTACCTCCCGGGACATATTTCGCAGTCTCCAGAAACGTCCGCGGGGCTACGCTTCCACAATGAGCCTGGGTTGAAAGTATCGTAGCATGCTTGTTTTTGTACGTTCAGTGTTGATGTTCTTTTATGTACTGTACATTCTCCCAGACTTCCGAGATCCACTCCCACATGTTTGCTTCTAATGTAAATTGTTTGCATGTGTAACATCCATAACACACTGTCAATGATTCCTTCTTTCTTCTCTCTCACAGCTATATGAGTATAGTGGAGTCCCTGCCCACATATGGAGTGCATTATTACGCTGTTAAGGTGGGTCATGGAGCTCGGAGGGGAAATTTATAAGCGCAGCCATCGGTACACACACACACATTCTCACGGCCTGCAGTATCGGCTCTTTCCCTAAGTGTTAAAGGATGCTTAAGACTCGGTGTGTTTTAGATAATCATGCTGTCATCAGCCATGAGCTGACACTTCTGCTTGTGTGTTCTTGTGTGTGTGTGTGTGTGTTTGTTTTTATATCTTATGGGGACTTATGCGTGCGTGCGTGTGTGTGTGTGTATTAATGCTTTTTTTCTCTCTATCTCTCTCTCAGGATAAGCAGGGTATCCCATGGTGGCTGGGCTTGAGTTATAAAGGCATTTTTCAATATGACTACCAGGACAAAGTCAAACCAAGAAAGGTAAGTCCCTCTTTCCTCTGTGGACTTGACACGGTTTGACTTTTGTTTGTGCTCTCTCTTCATCTTTATCATCCTGTAATGGTTTTAGCTTGCTGGTGGTAATTTGTAGTTCTTGGTTAGTGTAATTCATCTTGCATAATTTGTGCTCCAAACAGGAAGGATACCGTGACACTTTTCTATGCAGATACACTGATGTTTATTTGTCCAATGATAAAATTACACCGCAAAATGGGTCTTACTTAGAGTTTTGACTTGTTTCTAGTCCAAATATCTAAAAAGAATTAAGAAGCATTTTTTAGATCTATGAAGTAGATACTTGCTTAAAGCAAGAAAATAATCTGCCAATCGGGTAAGAAAAATGAACTTATTTCAAACCAAAAACAACATTATTTTGCTTACCCCACGGGCAGATTATTTTAACATAGGCTCATTCAGAAAACGTAGCCCTATTTACATTTCTGGAGATCACAAATTATGTAGCCAGAAGTACGTATGGTCTCATTTCATCTTTAAAACGAATGCTACAAGGTGGTATGAAGGCATTTCTTTTTGTGCCAGCAGTTGACTGCTCACCTCCGTATGGACGGCTTTTCCACTTACTAATTTGTCCAGTGGCTCGCCACGTATGTTGACGGACTTGAGACTCACTTGAGACTGTGACGACGGAGTTCGAGTCTGTCGAAGAACGGCTCGAGAAAGAGGATAAAATCAAAGCAAAGCCTAAAATAAACAAGTAAATAAAATAAACAATTTAAAATAAACAAGTAAATAACAGGGTGAGAATGTGGTAAAACCTGAAAATGTGGTGAAAATCAGGGGGCTATTCTTTTTTTGGATTGCTTTTCAAAACACTGTTGGTTGGGTTTAGGGAAAGGAGTGGGTGAGGAGTCCGGTCAGTAGGTCAGTCAGTCAGTCGACAGTGGCCTTTGGTGGAACAGTAGGCGCAAATGACACTTACAAGAGAAATTTGAGATCGAAAAAAGCATACACAGTGGCCTCCGGTGGATTCGCGAAAACAAAAACTGCATAATGTGTCCCTCCTGGGATGTATTTGACGCTCTCCAGAAATGTATATAGGAGTTTGATTTTAGAATGAGCCTGGGTTGGATAATTTTGCTTGTTTTAAGGAAAAACAAGTTAATTATTTTACTTATTACTTCTGAAAACTGAACAGTATTTTTATTTGTCAAGAAATTGCTCCTTCATTTAGGATTTTTTAAATATTTGGACTAAAAATAAGACAAAAACTCTGAGTAAGAAAATAATTTTTGCAGTGAACTCTTCATTTATTCATTATTTACTAAGGCAAGCATCCAAAATCATAGTCATGTCTCAAAATGTAGCTTATGACAGTGCTTTTTAAGAAAAGCTCTTTGTTTCTTGGTAAGAGAGAGAGAGAAAAATCCCACTTCTCTTTTAAAACTCGGTGCTTAGCAGAAATTCCAGTGGATGTAAGCAGTTTCCTTCTCTGCGTGTTTTGAAACTTAGTATGAGCTTCCTCCAGTCTGTGTTTGTTAGTATGTGTTCATCACCTGATCACCTTTGTTTAACCTCACAACGTCATCCTAGAGAAGTCTGACCGTCTGACACTTGGGTGTGGTGACCTCAGAAAGGTCATGACCTCTAGCGCTTTGACCCCTCGAGTGTTTTTGGTAACTTTAGACAGAGACTGTCAAACCTTCAGACAGACGGTCAGTGGCACCCAGTAAGTGTAATGCTACAAATCTTTTCAAATCGAAAAGAATCGCTTTCTGTGGGAATGACTCTACTTCAGGTGTGCGTCCCGCTGGCTTCAGCTTTCCATTCTCACAGCACACACCCGTGTTTAAATCCTCTCCAAAAGGACAAGCGAAAACTTCAGCCTGTGGTGAGCAACAGAGAAACCTTTCCCCAAAACCGCAAGCTAAAAATAGCGTTCAAAGCAAAAAAGTCCAGCCAAGCGAAAAGCCAAACTCAGGCCTATTTACAGAGGAGGATCTGTTACAGAAAACGAGAGTTGAAATGAATCGACGCAGCAGAGGGCAGCTCGGACTGGAAGGAAGAGAAACCAGCGAGCAGAACAGACGCGTCTGCAAAAACGCCACAGATGCAAACTAAACAAAATTATAATTCTACTTACATTTCCAGACAAACTGGGATAACAGATTATCCAAAAATGAAAATATTAACATTTACTGACACTTACGTTTTTCAAATTTATAATACTCTTTATATATTTTAAAGAACTGTTCATACAGCGCAAGGCAAAACAACATTGGACCCCACTGACTTGTATGGACAAAATATCCTATTCAAAACATTCATTAATTTTCCTTCGGCTTAGTCCCTGATTGGGGTCGCCACAGCAGAATGAACCGCCAATTATTCCAGCATATGTTTAACGCAGCAGATGCCCTTCCAGTTCCAACCCAGTACTGGAAAACACCCATACACTCAAATTCACACACACACTCATACACTACGATCAGTTTTTACCCAATTCACCTATAGCGCACCAGAAACTCCACACAGAAATGCCAACTGGCCCAGCCAGGACTCAAACTTTCTTGCTGTAAAGGCGACAGATCTAAGCTTATTGCTTTTTTTTCTTTTTTTTTTTATAAACACACACTGGACGGATGTGTGTGACCATTAAGCTTACTTCTTTTGAAGTGATGTGGATGTGAGCGTATGTTTTTTAGTTGCTGTGTCAAGTAGAAAGATCTTCAACTTTCACACACATTGTTATTATATCACGTTCATTGTATCACATCACGTGGACCTTGCCCAGTCCTAAAAACTGTGTCAAGTGTTTTTAGAAGCAAAGATGCATTTAGTGTGAATGAGCCCTGTGCATAATCATAACCCATAACGAAAATGTGAAAAAAGATTTGTTGAAATTGTTGCAAATGTATTACAAATAAAAAGTAATAAGTATTTACAGCCTTTTCCCTGAAGCTCTAAATTGAGCTCGGGTACATTCTGTTTCCACTGATCATTCTTGAGATTTTTAGCAGCGTAATTGGAGTTCACCTGTGGTAAATTCAGTGGATTGGACATGTTTTGAAAAGGCATACACCTGTCTATATAAGGTCCCAGTGTTGACAGTGCATGTTAAAGCACAAATCAAGCATGAAGACAAAGGAATTGTTTGTAGACCTCCGAGACAGGATTGTCTCTTAAGGCTGGGGAAGGTTACAGAAACATTTCTGCTGCACTGAAAGTTCCAATGAGCACAGTGGCATCCATCATCTGTAAGTGGAAGATGTTTGGAACCACCAGGACTTTTCCTAGAGCTGAGTGATCGGGGCAGAAGAGCCTTAGTCAGAGAGGTGATCAATAACCCGATGGTCACTCTATCTGAGCTCCAGCGTTCATCTGTGGAGAAAGGAGAACCTTACAGAAGGACAATTATCTGTGCAGCAATCCTGTGTGGCCTGTATGGTAGAGTGGACAGACGGAGGCCATTCTCTGCCTGGAATTTGCCAAAAGGCATGAGAAGGACTCTCAGTCCATAAGAAGCAAAATTCTCTAGTCTGATGCCAGGCACCGCTCATCACCAGGCTAATACCATCCCTACAGTGAAGCATAGTGGTGAATGACACATCTTGAATGAAAACCTGATTCAAAGTGCTCTTGACCTCTGACTGGGGCGACGGTTCATCTTCCAGCAGGACAATAACCCAAAGCACACCGCCAAAATATCAATGGAGTGGCTTCAAAACAACTGTGAATGTCCTTGAGTGGCCCAGCCAGAGCCCAGATCTACATCCTATTGAACATCTCTGGAGAGATCTGAAAATGGCTATACACCCTCGCTTCCCATCCAACCTGATAGAGCTTGTGGCATCATATTCAAAAAGACTTGAGGTGCATCAACAAAGTATTGAGCAAAGGCTGTGAATACTGATGTACATGTGATTTTTCAGGATTTTTTTATTTTTTAATAAATTTGCAACAATTTCAAAAAATAATTTTTCACATTGTCATTTTGGGGTATTGTGTGTCGAATTTTGAGGAAAAAAATGAATTTAATTCATTTTGGAATAAGGCTGTAACATAAGAAAATTTGGAAAAGGTGAAGCGCTGTGAATACTTATTGGATGCACTATAATACACTGCATTAGTTGTTTTTTAATATTTAGATGCAAAAATCATACATATTATTCTTTTAATTCTTAAACTCATTAAATCCCAGACTGCAACTTTCTCCTGATCTGCCTTTCAGACGGGTCATTGCCACTAACGCTCCCATTACACAGTTGGTCTCCATCACACATGCTTACACGTTTGTGTGTTTTGATGATAAGCTCACATACGCGAATGATTAGTGGCTGTACTCCATCTGTGGGAAGCGTGTGTGTGAGACTGCAGGACGATATACAGTAAAATATGCCACACACTAAAAGCTGCAGACTCGGTGAGTTAGCGGTTGGGTTTATTTAATGAGTTTCAAGCTAATTGAAACCGTCTCCTAATGAGAGACCACAATGCATCTGTGCCAAAGTGTGTGTGTGAAGGTGTAGCCAGTACGTTTGTGGTTTCATCATCGAGAGCTATTGTCCTCTACCTAAGCTCCCTCCAGCAAGCCTCTCTGACTCCAAAACCCGCAACAGGAAACCCAGCAGCAGACACCCGCAGGATTACTGTCGCCCTGACAACACACAACATGCTGGAAACATTAGTGTCTCTGACGAATCCGGGACCACTCCCCAAAAATCTGGCATGTGCGTAGCTCTTTCGCATTACTTCAGATCAGCTCATTACCTCTAGTTACTCTAAGATATGCCTTATTAAACCATATGAATGCCATTCTAAAGGCATTTCTACCCAGATTTAATGTTACAGCTATGAATCATGGGATTGCAGCCCTTGAGTCACCGATGATTGTCTTCCTCCTGTCTGCTGCCGGTGACCTTTGACCTCTACAATGCCCTGTCTTTTCTCATAAGCGCTCATTATAGCTCAGTCTAAGAAAAAAGCATGCCACACACACACACAGTCTTCCTGTACTCTTTGTGAGAGAGTAGGGTGTGCAGGGGGGTCATTGTATTATTTTGTGTACAGACAGACTGCAGGGTGGGCGTTGTGCATTATATTAAAAGTAACTGCACTGAATGTGAGTCATACTGATGACACAGCTGTGACATTTACACCAGAAATTCCCTGAAATGTTAACTCCTTTATATCGTTAACTCCTTTATAACATTTATAATTTATATCTAGACATAAATAAACATTTTCTCAAATACAGTTGAAGTCAGAATTATTAGCTAGATATTCTACAGAACAAACCATCATTATACAATGACTTGCCTAATTACCCTAACCTGCCTAGTAAAATTAATTAACCTAGTTAAGCCTTTAAATGTCACTTTAAGCTGTATAGAAGTGTCTTGAAAAATATCTAGTCAAATATTATTTACTGTCATCATGGAAAAGATAAATCAATTATTATTAGAGATGAGTTATTAAACTATTAGGTTTAGAAATGTGTTGAAAAAAATCTCCGTTAAACAGAAATTGGGGAAAAACATAAACAGGGGGGCTAATAATTCTGACTTCAACTGTATATGCATACCTGTGTATTTACACAAATATACACAGTACACACACTTAAATTATGTCAAAACAAACTTTTGTTTTAGAAGCGATTGTTCACGATTATGTTTTTGTCCAGCACTTATTTTAATTTAATTTGAGTCCCTTGTGCTCAACAACCCTGTTTATTTGATTAAAATAATGTCAAACATACAGTAATGTTGTGAAATACTATTACACTTTAAAACTGCTACATTCTATTGAATATATTTTGTTTTTAAATGTCATTTATTACCGTGCAAATTTGATGCTGTAAAACTATTTCTTAGTTTTGTGGAAACTGCAGCGGAAACATGGTAAGAACATAATTAGTTTCGTGCTGAAATCTTTCAAAACATTACAAATATGCTTTAACCAGTTTAATACATTATTTAAGATTGTGTATAAAAAGTACAGATTGTCATGTATTTAATATTTTATTTATTAAAAGTATTGATAAAATTAATGACAAATATTTAGAAATATGTATGCTCCTTAAAAAAAGTGTTTAATTTGCCAGCATTCTAGCATCAATCTTGATATTAATATTACTGATTAATATTATATATATATTTTGTAAAAGTATTTAAAAACCCGTTTGACATAGATTTTTATATATTTCTTATTTCATATATATATTATTCATTAAAAGTATTGATGATGACAAATAATTAGAAATATGCATGCTCTATTTAAAAAAAATGTTTTTAGTTTGTCAGCATTCTAACATCAGACCTTACTGATTAAAATCATGTATAAAAAGTATTTAAAAACCCTTTCAATATAGATTTTTATATATTTTATATTTCATAAATTTTATTCATTAAAAGTTTTGATTATAACAAATGAATATGCATCCTCCTTTTATTAAAAAAGTTTTTAGTTTGCCAGCATTCTAACATCAGACTTTACTATTTAAAACCATGTAGAAAAAGTATTTAAAAACCCTTTCGATATAGATTTTTATATATTTTATATTATACTAATTAAAAGTATTAATAAAACTAGCAACAAATAATTAGAAATTTGCTTGATCTTAAAAAAAAAAACATCTTTAGTTTTCCAGCATTCTAACATCAGACTTTACCAGAATCAGCTCCATCTGTGTTTTCAGAGTGGAGAGGTGGGTTTTTAGACAGAAACATGGCCAATCTCTGGACCCCATCACCACGGCTATGAGCCCTCATTTAAAATCCTTTGAAGTCTAGGGCAAGGTTTAACCCTGTTTCCAGAGATCTAAATAACCAAACAACACGAGGCCTAGAACACAGGCCAGCTGTCAGTAAAATATGTGCTGGAACTAACCAGGATTCAGCACATGAGAGCATCGATGGGCACATGGGGCCCTTTGAGATGCCTTTTCCCCTCTTTTACAACCTCTCGTGACTGCACGCCTCAAAATCACACACACTTTTTCAGGAAGATTGTCTAAATCCAGAACAATAGCTGACGTCCAAAGTTCTACCCGAAATAATCGGGTGTGGTTAATGCTCTACGCCTCATTGGCTCCTATAACTGCAGAAAGCTAGTGTTTAGATGTCATGGAACATTGTAGGGTCTCACACTCTCTTTTTCCTCTCACTCACTCTCTCTCTCGCTTTCTCTCTCTCTTAAGATTTGTATCTCTATAATGAACGTTGTTTTGAAAGTGTTGAGGGTCAAGTTTGTTCTTTGTCCCATGAGACCACCAAAGCGTCTCATAAACAGCACGAAAAGTTCAGTTTAACACCATCAGCATCTCTGTCCTGTTCAGTTGCACTTTTTTATGGTATGTTAGGGTGGAAAATATAAAGTTGTTTATTTTCTGGGCTTCACGACGCTGAAAAAGTGTTCTCTTTTTATCTTAATTGTACAATTGGTTCTCTTAATAGTACTAAAGGTCCGTGCACACCGTGACATTTTTTGCTCGCGTTTTCCGTCGACGTTTAACGCTTTGTGCCTAAATAAAGGGTGTCAATGTGATCGTGCACACCAATGGCCATGAGCTTTGGGTCATGACCAAAAGGACAAGATCTCGGATACAAGCGGCCGAAATTAGTGTCCTTTGCAGGGTGGCAGGGCGCACCCTTATAGATAGGGTGAGGAGCTTTGTCACCCGGGAGGAGCTCGGAGTAGAGTCGCTGCTCCTCCACATCGAGAGAAGTCAGCTGAGGTGGCTCTAGCATTTGTTTGGATGCCTCCTGGACGCCTACATAGGAAAATGTGTTCCATGCGTTTAAGTCTAGGGTTTTCGCCTGAGACTGCAACCCCCTGAGACCCCGGAAAAGCAGATGAAAATTTATTGATTAGTTAATTAACTAGAACAGAAAGAGTACAAAGGCCATTTCACAAAACACAGAATGTCAGATACAATATAATACAATATTGTCAAGAAAATAGATGAAATAAAATTAATAATTTACAGAGAAGTGTGTAGGCTCCACTACTCAAACCAGTCCAGCCCACAAAGCGTTACAAGTGAGCTAGCATTTATTTTAAGATGTTTGGTTTGTTTTCATGTTTCATTTTTCCCCCACCATTTTAGTGTTTTAATTAAACTTAAATGAAGTCATTTCACAAGGCATCATTTAATATGTATGATTTATTTTAGTTTTATTTTGATAGCTTTAGTTTACAATAAAAGCAACTGAGTGTTACGAGATCATTTTAAACCAATAGCAAGACTAAAACTGACTCTTTACAAGAAAAGCATCAAAAAACGATGTTAGCTAATCAATGTACACAAATCGGGGTGATTTGGTTAGCGCTGTTGCCTCAAAGCAAGAAGGTTGCTGGTTCGAGTCCCGGCTGGGCCAGTTGGCATTTCTGTATGGAGTTTGCATGTGTTCCATGTGTTGGCGTGGGCTTTCTCTGGGTGCTCCGGTTTCCCCCACAGTCCAAAGACATGCGCTATTGGTAAATTGAATCAACCTAATTGCCCATAGTGTATGAGAGTGTGTACTGTATGTCAGTGTGTATTGGTGTTTCTCAGTACTAGGTTGCAGCTGGAAGGGCATCTGCTGCGTAAAACATTTCTGGAATGTTGGTGGTTCATTCCGCTGTGGCGACCCCTGAAAAATAAGGGACTACGCAGAGGGAAAATGAATGAATGTTCACAAATCATATTAATATTTATTATATAGCTGCAGCTAGTCATATTCTCTATTACGATCTCATATTGCGATCAATTCATATTTTAATCCAACCTTAAATCTAAAATTTGCATATTTGAATTGTTACTATGTGCTATTTTTGTCATAACGGAGACACTGCAGACTTTAACGAATCACTATCCAATCCAAACATTGTGAAGTTCACATGACTTTAGTTTTAAAAAAATACAACCCATCCTAAATAAGAACCAGCACTTAATTCCCAATTGTGGTGATATATGTTGAAATAGTTGTGTGTGTATGTGTGTAACTATGTTCCTTCCCTCCCCTCTTCCTTCATCTGTCCATTGTTTTCCCAGGCTCTTAAAATTCTTGAGCACTTCAAGCCAACCCCCTCCCTTTCTCTCCCCATCCATTTCTCTTTTCCTTTATTTTTCTTTTATTTCCCCCCACAACTCAAGCTCTTTGCCAAGAAACGATTGTGTATATAAGGTATTTTAGTGCCTATTAACAGTAATTATTTAGGTAATTGATAGTTTAGATGTTATTTATCTTAAGAAGACATTTTTATTTGAAGTAAAAGCAATACCATCACACCATCCTTTGCGTTTTCGTTGTGTCTGTGCAGCTGATGTCTCTTGGAATTCAGTGTTTGTACCTCAGACAGCCGAGTGTGTGTGCGTGATGGTGTATAATGAGAACCAGAACCTGATTTCTTGAGTGAATGAGGGGAAAAGAGGTGGAGGAGTTGAACAAAGCTGCAGCGCTGCATTTTGAGGGGTTACTACAGCACACACACACACACAAACACATCACCCTGAACTCACTGTAAACTCCGCCCACGCAGGAAGCGTGTCTCCCAGAGGGAGGAGAGGCTTGGAAAGAGTCTGACTCCTCCCACTTTTGCTTGCTCTCTCTCTTTCTCTCTTCATCTCTCTAGATCCAAACAGTCTCTCACTTTCTACACATATACAGAGGAGGACTCATTGTTCCCCTGTGCCTAAGGAGGATTTTAAACACACACATACTCGCCACATGCACGAAAGTGAACGGAAAAGTCAGATATCTTGGATTCTGGATTCTCTTTTAATGTCCTGTTGTGATCTGGAAGGATTCTGAAGAACATCCGTGGAATGTTAGATCAAGGTTGTGGGAATGTTCTGAAAACGTTCTCTCGTCTCTGCAGGTGTTCCAATGGAGACAGTTGGAGAATCTGTACTTCAGGGAGAAGAAGTTCTCAGTGGAAGTCCATGACCCGAGAAGGTAAATCTACATTACAGTCTGCACATGCTTGCTCACACACACAAACTGGCAACCTGATTTCACCAAGTAAAACATGTTACTGGGTTAACATCTATGTTGATCCTGGAACAACATTCCAATCAGCCAGTCGGAAATAAGGGGTATGTTTAGATGTTTATGTTTAGGCTAACAGTTAGGTTTATGCACTTCTACATGATTGTTGTCCAACTATTATTCCCCTCTGATTTAGGGAATAATTTACAGTTATGGTTGGGTTTAGAGGTAGGGAATAGGTACTGTATGAATTACTTTTTCTAACAAAAATTATGCTCCAGGATCAACATAGATGTTAATTGAGGATTGCATCGTGCATGGCAAAATCATGACGTGCCACATACATAAACACACAGATCATGGACTATAAGCTAATAAACAATATTGAGGTAAAGTTGGTTTTATAATCACACATTCAAACGTTCTTCTTAATATCCTTTTGGAAAAGTATTCCTTGCAAATTCGAAATAGTGGAATCATATTAGCAGCCAATGACTATCAAAGTACAACATTGTTCACAGTCAAATCAATATGGCTAATGTTGTTTTGAACTCATACGTACATGTGATTGCAGACCAAATATTGAAAGTACCATGGTAAACAATATAAGGGGTGTGTCACAAGTTGTCAATGAACACATGTGTGAATATAAAACCAACTTTACCTCAATATAATCAATCTGTCTAACACATTGACAGTACTGGGTACCACTTTCACTCCAACCTGACAAGCTTGTTAAGATGGTTTAAAAGAGTGTTTCTCAACCACTTTCCTGGAGGACCACCAGCTCTGCACATTTTCCATGTCTCCCTAAATAAACACACCTGATTCAGAATAGGGCTGGGTGATATTGCAAAAAAAATGATCACAAAATCATGTTTCATATCATTCGATATCAATAATTATTGAAATTTTTTTTTACAATACTTTTAGAAATGGTGGCGCAGTAGGTAGTGCTGTCACTTCACAGCAAGAAGGTCGCTGGTTCGAGCCTCGAAACTGGGTCAGTTGGCATTTCTGTGTGGAGTGTGCATGTTCTTGCTCGGGGCATTCAGGAAAAGTTCAGTAGTTTTTCAACTTAGTGTTCCTGGAAAATGTGCATTGGTGCTCCCTTGGTACTCCCATATGCGCGGCTCCATTAGTTATGACAAACGGACACCCTAAGCTTATTGGCATTGCTTCCAAGGCGCGCGCTTAGCAGTCACATTTTAATAAAACGATAGCACTTCATAACGATACAATATCTAACTTTTTTATTATCGATATTGACAATGGTGTTCGGTCAATAAATACTGATACCGATTTTATCGCCCAGCCCTAATTCAGAACATCAGCTCATTTAAGAAAACATTTAAAACATGCAGTGTTAGTGGTCCTCCAGGAACGTGGTTGAGAAACACTTTTTTTAAAGGTCTCAGCGTGTTGTTTGTTTTTTTCCTTTAATTTTTTGGGGGGTTCCATTGTGAGAATAATTTATGTAACGTAGACAAAACATGACTTGATGAACTGAGCCTCTAAACGTGGTATAGTAAACCATAAAGTATCAACTTTGTAGAGCACTTAAACAAAAGAGTTAAGGGCATAGTTCACCCTAAAATGAAAATGTACTCACTATTTACGGGGTTATTTAAAGGGTTATAGACCTTTATAAGATTCCTTCTTCTGTTAAACACAAAAAAAGCGGAAAACCTGTAACCATTGACTTCTATATTAGAAAACTATGGAAATACTATGAAAGCACTGTCGCCTCACAGCAAGAAGGTCGCTGGTCAAGTCCCAGCTGGGCCAGTTGGCATTTCTGTGTAAGGTTTGCATGTTCTCCCAGTGTTCACGATAGTTTCCTCTGGGTGCTCCAGTTTCCCGCGCAGTCGAAAGACATGCACTATAGATGAATTGGATGTACTAAATTGGCTATAGTGTATGGTTGAATGAATGTATATGGATGTTGCCCAGTACTAAGTTGTGGCTGGCAGGGCATCCACTTTGTAAAACATATAGTGGAATAATTGGCGGTTCATTTCACTGTGGCGACCTCTGAAATAGAGACTAAGCCAAAGGTTAATGAATGAATTAATGAATGAATGAATGAATGAATACTATAGAAGTCAATGGTTTCAAGTTTTCAGCTTTCTTCAAAATATCTTCTTTTGTGTTCAACAGAAAAAAAGTAAGCCAAACCAGTTTGGAAAAGGGAAGGTTTAGTAAAATATGACAGAATTTTTATTTTCTGTCCCTTTAAGCAACACTAAAAATATATGAGACTTTTGACAGGACTGCTGTTCCTAAAGAGAAACATTGTAAGGTAAATATGTTCGTAGTTACATCTGGTTGACCTCCATCCATCCACAAGCCTTCACCGAGCTAAGCTATTTGTTATTGAGTTGAAATCTCTGACTTCCTGTGTCCCATGGAGAGGAGGGTAGAAATACATCCGGCATAGATGAACGAAAACCTGATCTGTGTCTCCAGCTCTAGAGATGTGATTTGAGTTTACCCTGATCCTGTGTTTCTCTCTCTTGATGTCTCAAAACTGTGGATCTTCCATTTATCCTGACTCTCTATTGATATTAGGATGCGTTTATGGTTTAATCAGACCCTCATGACATCATCAGTGTGTGCTGAGGGCTGGTTAGTCTCTTTAGGAGAGCAGACGCTGCCAAAAGCAGCAGCACACGTTGCCTCAGATGCTGACAGATAAACCACCTCATTCACGCTGTTCAAACAACCACCACGACAGCCCAGAAACGCAGAGAACACGCAGGGAGTTCACAGAAATGCTGGAGGCCGGGGAAATAAGACATGAAAGAGAGCAAAACAGTTTGGGAAGATGAAAGAATCTGTTTATTTTGCAGCATGATGTATTTTCCTTCTTGTTAGGTTCACTGTCATTCAGTTAGAATCATTGCAACACACACACACACACATGCGCATGCTAATAAAGTTTTGATAAGAGTGAGGGTCTGCTGTTCATCTTCTTCTAGTGGAGAGGCCTGGAGGATTTTATAAAGCCCATCACAGGACACACACGTGCACTGCGTTTGACCACAGTGTAAATGGTGTGTGTATATGTGGGCTGCGCTGTGTGTGGTACGCTAAGCCGATACTTTTAAGAACTGTTAGGAGTATTATGTGCTAACACCAGTTCATATCTCACACCTAAATGTATACATTTTTCTGGCTGCTAGTAATATGGGAGATGACAGGACTTGGATTTGTGTGTTTTTATGTGTGAATCCATTCTTGGTAAAATAAATACTTTAAGCAAATTTAAATCTTTACCCTAACTTTTGAGCAATTCGTTTGCTCAAGCTGCTTGTTTTTAGATAGAAGTGTGTTTAAGAAGCTACATTAAAGCTAGTGGTGTAACGGATCACACTATGGTTTTTGAGTCACGGATTGGACCAGTTTTTATATTAACAAAAAAGGGAGGAGACAAATGTCATTAGCTTTCAATTTATTACAAAAACAATACTGCAAGACACATAAAAATCTAGAAATAGCCAGCTTAACAAAATATGATATATTGATATTTCCAATACTGAAAAAAAACGTATATATTTTTTTATTTATAATTTATTGCGTGGGTATTTGAATTGAGATCCTGATATTTTAATGAATAATTCTGCATGTTTACACTGAATTCTTTGATGTAGAATAAACAAGTAGTGGCCAAAAACACATTTAATAACTTAAGAAAGCATTTACTGAAGGTGCCTCCGTAAGGTACATCCTTACGTTGAGTTTATTTATAATCTAATTTTAAGAGGATCCCAGGGTTATGATTGACCACGGCGGGTCCTGCATTAGCTAACACATGATTCACCAATCAGACCATTCCTAACACACTATAAATAACCAGAGTTTTTTACCTTATCGTTGTCTTGAAGAATCCCCTCTTCCACCCCTAGTTCTCCTCCCTTTTCCCGGATATGGCAGCTCAGTGGTTAGCACTGTTGCCTCACTGCAAGAACAGCACTGGTTCAAGTTCTTACTAGGCCAGTCGATGTTTCTGTGCAGAGTGTGCATGTTTTCCCTGTGTTAATGTAGGTTTTTCCCCGGTTTCCTCCCACAGCCCAAAGACATGCGACACAAGTGAATTGACTAAACCAAATTGACACTGTAGATGAGCTCTTATGCTGTGTTCACACCAGATGCGGTACGCGCGGATAAATTATGTAGATAAGCGAATGAACATTTTGAGTTTACTCGCTTCATTAACGCATCAACTCCGCTTCATTTGCGTGTCATATTCACTAAGCAATAGACGCGGATTCATGTCATGGATGGGGCTTCTGTCTGCCCGGTGAGTCCACTAAATCCTTTCAGAGGTGCACCCAGCTCTGTGAGTTCATAAACTCCTCCAGAAACTTAACCTGCATGATGGAGGCTTTCAGCTGTGCTTCCGACTGAGCCGAGCCCAGTTTGATCAACTGTTGTCTGGTGTCAGCAGGAGGATTTATCCCCGGGACACCAACAACAGATACGTCATAAGCACACCTCTACAACACAAAGCTCCTGATTGACGCAGCGCAAATGTTCGCTGAAGTTCAGATTTTCCAACTTGAGCGATTCGAGAGAAACTCATTTTCGCAAAACGTTTAACTCGCTCTGATTTATTTGCGCGAATCGAATAATTCACATGAATTGGATCAATCGCACTGCCTCATTCGTGCGTATTGGGCAGCAGGATGTCTATTTGCATCTTTGCATTGACTTAACATGTAAATCACTCCCATTTGATGCTTCTTCCGCGTCTGGTGTGAATGCAGCAATAATTAGACTCCTACCTATGCCTTTGATTCACCTGTTTATCTCTCCATAGCAATCCCTATATCTATCTATCATAGGCCCTAGCTAAACCAGGGGAGCTCAAACTCCTCTCTTGCCCTTCTAAGCTTAAGGCTCTCTACCGGGACATCATATCAAACAAGCTTTATAATCAATCATCAGCTAAGTGTGAACTCTTGAAGTTAACAAAATATTGCCATGAAACCTTTAAATGCAAAAAAAAGTTTTTTTGTAGCATATTTCTATTGCAAAGATGCATTGCTAAAAACAATCAATTGTTCTTTTTGAATGGGAAGGTGAAAATGCTGTTAAGGCAAATTAAAAAATTGTAATCCTAATATTTTTTACCTTTACTGTAACTAGCCAAGCAATATAATATGTCAACAGGTGTTTATTGGCTGTCTTTACAATGGTTTTGAATGTGAGTTCTGAGGAAGTAACATTTTATGGCAGGGCATTTATTAATTTGTCAAACACAAAGCCGGTGTCCATCTGTTAATAAATGACAATGTTTTCATCAATAATAAGCATCTGTTTCTGCACTGACGGTGTCGTAAAATTCAGTGAATATAAAGTCGTTTTGTGTTCGCACCAACTGTAGGGCGTCGGTAACGCGGAGGACGTTTGGTCACAGTGGCATCGCCGTGCACACCTGGTACGCCTGTCCCACCCTCATCAAATCCATCTGGGCCATGGCCATCAGCCAACACCAGTTCTACCTGGACCGCAAACAGAGCAAGGTGAGACGGCATTTTTAGATCAGTCTCTAATCATCTTTTAGTGTGCCTATGACCTTCCTGTGTTTCTGTGGTCTACCTCTAACCATCTAACTGAACTGCCGTCACTCCACAGTCACACACACATAACTATCTGTCTCAGACTTTGCTGAGAAAGGATTGTGTTACACTTTTAAAAGCTGTGGAATGTGTGTCTCTTGGAAAATTCTGACACACTCGACACAGCTGGCAAGCACATTCACTTTCTCTGTCTTTGTCTCCCAGAGTAAAATCCATGCAGCTCGCAGTCTGAATGAGATAGCCATAGACCTGACTGAAACTGGGACCCTCAAGACCTCCAAACTGGCCAACATGGGCAGCAAAGGCAAAATCATCAGCGGGAGCAGCGGGAGCCTACTGTCCTCAGGTCAGAAATCGCACAATACTCTCTCAAGTCCAGTTTATGCCTACAGTGTGTTTCACAGTAATATAATAATAGATGACGGAGCAAGTGATGCACACTTCAATTATCTCTAAGAAGACAATAGTGTCATTATCCTGCTCAAGTCAGTTAAGTGTTGGTTCTGTTGTTTAATAACTATGTCACGTTCATCAGCTCTACATATGAAAAGTGATTTTGAGTCAGTTTAGAAGCTTGTTTCTGTCGTGGAATTGGTTAGATCCTGCAAATGTGAGTAAACAGTCAGAATTTGGGGATCTTAACCTAGAATTGCTGATCTTTTTTCACCTTTCATTATCTTGTGGCAAAAAAGACTTCCATAAATATGTGTTTTATCATGAAATAGATTCAGTAATTCCACTGTAAAGCAGTTATTCAACAGTCCATTCAATAGTGTCAGTGTAGTAAATTCAATAATATGACTAAATACGAAGTGCAAAACTGATGTTACAAGACTGAAGCTCATCGCCTTGGGCATGTTAGAAGTGGGGATGCACTGAAATGAAAATTCTGGTCCAAATCCAAATGCACTTGGCTGAAAACTCAAAACTGACAGAGAAGATGCTTTGTAAGTATTATTTCTTTTTTAATCAAATAATATCAATTAAATTATAAATTAACTTTAATTGTACTATTTTAAATGGAAACAATAAAATGACCACATTTTATTAACAGTACAATTTTATTGACATTGATCGAGTTGAGAGATGTGGTTTTACCAGGGTTTTCATGACAACACTATAGCACTGTTGCAAGCAGAAGGAAAAAGTATACTAGGAATGTGCTGTCGGAAAGATATTTAGAGCGGACTTTTTACTTTTCTACTGAGCATGTGGGGTATATGCATACATAAGTGAGTACATTAGAGGAATATTGAACTATTTTGAACCACTTTGGACAATACAGCAACAATCCACCCTTGCACATTGCTATTGAAATAAATAGGTTTCATAGTGCAGTGCTTTCCTTATCCGGTGTGAAAGCTTATTCGCATCACACACTGACTATGACTGGATGTGAGAGTGAAACAGCACACTAAACACTTTTGGGTCGTATTTTCAGCCATTTTTCTCCTTCGACTGAAAACCTTTCATTTCAGCCGATAAATTTCAGCGCTAAAAATTTAGTGCATCCCTAATAACAGGGTATCCGCGGGGTCTTAAAAATGATTAAATCAATATGTAGCACTTAAGGCCCTTAAAAAATAATTAAAAAGTCTTAAATGCTATTTTACAAGGTATTGAATCTTGTATTATTTTTGTGTGTGGATCATGTATAGATCATGATGGAGTGCAGTTGCCTCAATATGTTAAAGAACAGATTAAAAAAAGTGTCTTTCAGTTTTTATCATGTTTCTAAAATTAAAAAATATGCAATCGTCCAATATTCTAGTTAAAATCATCACAGTCAGACATTTAAAATCAAGATCGGTGCATCAGTCTGTTTATAGATGAATGTGTTGACTTGTATTAAATGGGAGTATAAAGTTTCATTCATTAATTTGAAGGTCAGAGAGTTAGCTAAAGCTCCACATTAAGTTTTTTTTTTACTAGTCTAATTGATTTGTATTGCTCTCTTTTATAAACCTTCCATAAGGGTAAATAATTCTAGTTCTTAATTCCTTCTGAATTATATTGCATTGATAAGGAGTTATCACAAGTCAAGAGTCTTTAATTGGGCTTTCTTACATTCAATATTAAGTAAATATACTGTGAGTGTATATAAAAATTTATTGAAATTGTCGGCAGCTAGCTCTCTGCTATTCTCACATGGTCACCAAATAAAGCTAAGCAAGGCTGCGCCCGGTCAGTACCTGGATGGGAGACCACATGGGAAAGCTAGGTTTCTGCCGGAAGTGGTGTTAGTGAGACCAGCAGGGGGTGTCTGTGTGGGTCCTAACACCCCAGTATAATGAAGGGGACTCTATACTGCTTAGTGAGCACTGTCTTTTGGATGAGAAGTGGTCATTAAAAATACCAGGATGTTCTTTGAAAAAGAGTAGAGGTTTTACCCCGGCATACTGGTCAAACTTGCCCTCAGTCCATCATGGCCTCCTAACCATTCCCGTATTATAATTGGCTTCATCACTCTGTCTGCTCTCCACCAATCAGCTGGTGTGTATTCTGCGGATCCAGGTGGATGCTAGTACTGGTGGTGGATGAGGAGATTCTTTCTTTCCCAACTTTAACTATGATCATGAACTTAGTTGGTCATCACATATAAAGTGATGTTCATAGTTAGTCATTGGCAGTGATCTGAGAACCAGTTATAAAGACACTCAAATTAAGGGTGACAAAATGTAGTCTTGTAGTGTACACCCTGTCTTATTGCTTGTTTGAAAGCGCTGTTCAGGATCTCTCGGTGATGTTGATGTAATAGTTTAGGGGTGTGGGCATGTGTGTAAATTTTCTACAAGGTGAGAGTGAGAACAGCTTGTCTTGATGCTGGTTTTGGACTCTTGCCGTGGTGTCTGGTATCGTGAATGAAATGCGCATCGCAGGATTCCTCTGGTGTCAGTCATACGATCTCCCCTTTCATCCCCTCCGCGTGTCTTCAGCCTCTTAATCATTGAACACGCATGAGAGATTAGGTCATAGGGGCTTGGACAAGTGCAGCTGTTTGCTTTGGGTAAGAGAGCGTGTACTTGAAACGAAGTTCGCTAAGTATTTTGTCTCCTTAATCGGACAGATTTCTGAATTAAATTACTTATTCAAAAAGAAAACATTTAGAGGAAGGTTGTATTTGTTATAATGGGAATTGACTGGAGAATCGAATGTCGAGGTTCAGTTATACAAGCTCACAAGGAAAGCTGTTAAAAAAGGAACGCTGACTTTAATCATTATTGACTTTAATATTAATAATTAATTGACTTTAATAATAATAAACACATTTTTTGTGAACAATATTTTAAAGCAGAACATAATTTCTTCCCTTTGGTAAAAAATAGGCTCTTATTTTCAATATTATTTTATTTATATACGGCTGATGAGATACACACAGATGAGATCAGTGATCACAAGTCTCATCTGTGTGTGTGTCTCATCAGCCGTAATCGGCAACTAGTGTGTGTGACATGGCCTGATGGGATTTGTAGTTCCTTAGACATAAGTAGTAGCTCATGACACTAAGGGCTTTACAGGCAGTGAATAACATGCACGAATTACGCACAGTAAGAACTTATTTTCATCCACTGGTGTGAAAAAACAGGCTCTTATATTCAATATTATTTTATTTATATATTATATTTTCTGACCCATTCAGTGGTTGGTTATGGAAGAAGTTATAAGTTACTCTAGACCAGGAACACTTATTAGAAGCATTAAAAAACGTTTTATATCACATTATCTGCACACCTAAATAAAATCTGTAATCATTTAATAATTTAGTCTTATTTATTTGTTTATTTTACAATTTACTTTATCATTAAATAAAGTACAAGCAATATATACAATAATGTGAAATAATAATTATGCATCAATAGTAGGCCAGCCACGATAAAGAATTTTTTTTTGTGATATATTGTCACAGAAATTGTTACGATGAGTGATACTATAGTCATTTTTTATTATCATTTCATTCCACTGATTATGTAAGGATTATATAACAGCATAATAGTTCAAATAGGCATAAAAACTTTAAAATATGTATCATTCATAAAGTAAATGTTTTATTATATATACTATTAAATGTCCTGCTAAGTAAATGTCCAAGTATAAGCGTACGGACGTAAGAACGTAAATGTCATTGTAAAATGCCTTTAACGTTATTTGTGAATTCATATATATATATATATATATATATATATATATATATATATATATATATATATATATATATATATATATATATATATATATATATATTGCAATGGCAAAAAATATTGATGTCATCTTCAAGTATTGCACGATAAGCCAATATATTATTATTGTGACAGGCCTAATCCTTAGTGAGCAGGACTCAACTCCTTTCAAAAACAATAATACAATTTACTGACCATAAACATGTTATAGAAAGTATTTTTATGGAACCCACTATAACCAAGAACATGGTCATATGATTGATTTAATTGTCATAATGACCATATGCTTCAATAACAACCAGTAGTAGAGCACTGTAATGGCCCATTAAAACAGCTGTTTTCCAAAATCTATGTCAACAAACAAGTGGGAATTCTTGCATCATCTGTTCCTTTTGTGTTTGTATGACAGGAGAATTTAGCTGGAAAGAGCTTGTCCACCCAGCCATGTTTGGATTTGCAGAGTTGCTAAATAAATCCATCATTCAAGCATCCCAATGGAAAACATCCCACACAGGGATGATTCAAGGGTTCACACTTAGCTGATGATTGATTATAAAGCTTGTTTGGCATGCAGTCCAGGGTGAGTGCCCTAAGCTCATAAGATCCTCGAGCCCGGGGCTCCCTCTCATTTGCAAGGCGAGAAGGGAGTTTGAGCTCAGGTAGATCTCGAAGGATATTGAACAGAATCCTCTCTGAATATCCTTCAGATCCTCTCTGAAGGATATTGGACAGAGTCAGATTGGGTGACTTTACATTTCTGAGTGTCACGATCACCAGCGATCTACAAAAAAATACTAAATTGTCTGTATTTCAGGCTTACTCTTTCAGTTCTTATTCTGCAGCCATAGACCAAAGACACACACAAACAAACACACACACTTACACACAGCAGGCTTGACTGGACACTAGTGACACAGCCAGTGACCCTAGTCATTTTCTCTCTATTACTGTCGACTCTTCACCAATTCCCAGACAGCTGGCTGCTCCCACACACACACACACACACACACACACACACACACACACATAGATACGCATTACACCCTTCCAAACACACCAGAAGCATCAAATTCCTCTACAGAAATGGAGGATGCTGTCGATGATGAGGATGCATAGTTTCAGTTTGAGAAAACACACTCATTCACAAGGTCACACACAACTAGTTTTTCCCCACAGGAAAGCAAACACTGATTTAATGTCTTTAGCAGTGTGTGGTGTCATTAAGGTATCGTGTTGTTATATAATCCTTGTTGCCAGTCTTGCCAAAAAATTTCACTGACTTCCTTGTAAACATCTTAGACCGTAATGTACGCGCACACACACACACACACACACACACACACACACACACACACACACACACATTGAACAATGTTGCCCCATTGGAACTCTTTGTTCAGTTTTGTCCCGGAAACACACACACTTTGCCCCCTCCTTTCAGAGTGTTGAAAGAGGTGAAGTACACACCCTCTCTCTTTGAGTAAGAAGGTCAGTCTGATTGTTTAAGCACAAGCCTGGAGTTGCTGATGCTGATTTGACCTTTACATATGAATGATATTTAACCTTTAGTTTACATACACACACATACACACAAGCATACATATTATAATAAATATAATTTCTGTGTCAATCCTAACCTCGTGTATGTGTTTGCAGGCTCTCAAGAGTCGGACAGCTCTCAGACTGCGAAGAAGGACATGTTGGCGGCTCTGAGGGCTAGACAGGAAGCTCTGGAGGAGACACTCAGACAGAGAATAGAGGAACTTAAGAACATCTGCATCAGAGAAGCGGTACGGAATCCTAACAACTTCTCACTTCTCAAAGTAGTCACTCAACTAAATATATAAGTGGAAATATTTATTTAAAAAATCTTGTGTTTTGAAATGTGCATTTTTTATTCAATGTTTGATGTAATCTCAACTGAAACATGAAGAGAGGGCAGGGCATAGAGTAGCTCCTCTTCTTTAAAAAAAACAGCCAATAGTGTTTTGTTTTATCACAGCTCTGCCAGTGAGAGTAGTTGAGCTCAAGCGCATCAAATGAAAAGCAAATAAGAGGTGTCTTGAAGGGGGCGGGGCATGCCAGATTCTAGAGAGTATTTGATTGGTCAAGATGAGAAACTGTAGTATGATGTGACCTGGAAAAATCTTTGATAGATTTTGGCGGAAGAGACAAACTGATAATTATAAAGATCTAAAATTAACACTGAGTGAAACATTTTGTAGACTTAAAATAGGATTCACAATATGAAACTGTGTCTTTTAAAATCTGCACAAGTTTTTACAGCATATGCTGTGCAAAGTAGCAGGTCAACCGGGTTTTTTTCGCATGCTGTTTTTTAAAATTCTATGTATTCGGACATACTACTCAACTCACATACTGTTTTTAGCTGTATAGTAGGGATGTGAACCTACACTGGTCTCAGAGTTCGGTTCGGTTATGATTATCATGTCATCTATTCGGATCAATTCGATATCTTGGTGCATTGTCGATGCTTTCCAGACATAATTAGATTTTTTCTTCACAACACAACAATTTTTTTTATCAAAATCTATAAATATATTAATATTTATATATTATTTGTAATACAATTTTGTCCTTTAATACAAGCAGTAAGATATATGAACTGTACCTTTAATTTTTATCTGTTCAAAGAAAAAACTTTTCTTGAATGTTTTAGACAAAACTCCAAAACATGCACAGAAGACAACATGAGCATTTATAGCAAATAAACTCATGTAAATATTATTCGTTTGCTTTTTTAGAGCTGTCAAGCGAGTTCTTACACTCCTATGATTGGTCATTGTGTTCACCCGCTCAACAGAAAGGGCTGCAATTGGCTTTAAAAAGGAAAGCGCTGTTCACCAATGAGTTACGCTGGAAGAACAGCCGCGGTTACAGTCTATATGCGCATTTTACACGGTTATCACAGGTAATCCGTAATAGACACAGTGGAGAAAACTCACCACAGACACACTTATGTCAGGATCCACAAGTATGTATTAGACAAGTACACAAGTATCCCATCATGTATTAGATTGTCAGAACAGTCAGGCTTTAATTTACTTTTTGCAAAAGATTTGATCAGAACTACTATATCAATCTCACAATTTAAGAACATCTGCATTGTGGAAATATAAATTTATATCATCTAATTTCAAATTAACAATAATCTACGTATAACTAAAAAGTTATATTCTCTGGTTTTTAATTATATAATTTCATTAACATCCCAGCTAGGAAGGACATTAACCTTTTGTCTGTCTGATCACAGGCTAAGCCAAAGTAATGCAAATTGTCAGTTTCACAGCATGGGGTGTCTATTGTTTTCTCTTTTCGATCAAATGGTCAGGCGGTTTCTGTCTCCAGAACATGATGAGATTAGACCTGAGAAGCAGTTTACCCTGCCGACCACAACCCTTAATTTGCATACTTTGTTTAGCTATCCCCTCCTCCTAAGAACACAATATAGCCATGAAATCTTTGTCTCAATTCAGACTAATTCAGACTTGTGTGAGACTTGTGTGAGAGACTTGTGAAAGAACTTGCAGACTGCGGACCTCTAGTAGGCTCTTGCAGACACATTGGACACCTTGAAGACGCTGTATGACTGCAGATTAACCAACACGTCTCAATAAAGGAATTCTGCTTGTTTCGAGTCTCCTGGACTGGGTTCTCTCTTCTCTTTTCACTCATTTATTTTTTTTTTTACAACAGCATCAAAGAAGCCAATCTAGAGAATCCAAACAACTTCTCACATTAGCATAAAGAGTTAATAGCCTGAGCAGATGATTTTTGTCTTAGTTATTTTTATTCATGCAACGGCTTCAAATTAGTTCTATAAATTTATCAGTGGAATTTATATAACTGTATGCTTATGTATTAAAATATGTATATTTGTTTATTTAGAAACAACATTGACTCCCAAATTTCCCAAATCATTATAAAGAAACTACGATTAATATTTAATTCAATTTTGTAGTAGAAAGACTGAAATAGGTTTTTCTTGTACACAATTTTTTACAGTGTATGCTTCACAAACATTTTTATTGAACAGTGCATTCTGGGATTGTCCCAGAACACAACATCTTATAAGGCTGCACACTTGTGTTTGGAATAAGCTTGATTGGAATAAGTTTTGATCTGAACTAGTATGTCAATGTCACATATTTACTGTATATTTTTTCCCCAATTTCTTTTTAATAGAAAATTTTTTTTATTAGTTTTAATATCTCATTTCTAATAACTGATTTAGTTTATCTTTGCCAATTATGACATTAAATAATATTTTACTAGATATTTTTTCAAGATACTAGTTTTCAGCTTGAAGTGACATTTAAAGTCTTAACTAGGATAATTAGGAAAGTCGTTGTATAACTGGTTTGTTCTGTGTAGACAATTACAAAAAAGGCTAATAATATTGATATAAAAACTGCTTTTATTCTAGCAGAAATTAAAACAAATAAGACTTTCTCCAGAAGAAAAAAAAAAAAATAGGAATTACAGTGATAAATTTAACCCAGGCTCATTCTGGAAATGGAGCCAAGACGTACATTTGTACATTTGTTTCTGGAGGCCGCGAAATTTGTCCCGGGAGGTACGTATTTGTGCAGTTTTTGTATTCGCGAATCCGCAAGAGGCTGCTGTGCGTGCTTTTTTGTGTCTCGAATGCCTGATTTCTGGAACCCGGTCGTCGCATCGAGTTATGGTTACCACGACAAACTAACCGGACAAACTGGCTGCGGCAGGAAAGCGCTCCACATGGAGGTGAGCTGTCAGCTGGCGAGCGCGAAGAGGAGCAACATCACCCTGTAGCGTTCACTTGAAAAAACGAAATGCAGCCATACATACCTTCTGCCACCTAAATCGCGTTCTCCATAAACGTCTGCAGGGCTACAGCTTGAGCTTGGGTTGGATAAATTCCTTGCTCTGTTGAACATCATTTGGGAAATATTTAAAAAAGAATACACAGGAGGGCTAATCATTTTGACTACAATCATACACAACAAATGCTAAAGAAAAAAGACGATAACAAAGTGTGATGTGTTTCAGGAGCTGACTGGAAAACTTCCGAAGGAGTATCCTCTGGATCCTGGCGAGGAGCCGCCCACCGTCAGACGCAAAATTGGCACAGCCTTCAAACTGGACGAACAGAAAATCCTGCCCAAAGGAGAGGTCAGTGACATTCAACCTCATCCATCCCACTGACCACAGTCATGACCCGGCAACATGGGCATTCTGTTTATAGTCTGATGTGAAGTTAGTAACACTGACCACACCAACCACTACACAATTGTTTAATCATAAAACTGCCCTTTAAGTCATTATGCTCAGGCATTATTGTGTATGTGTGTGTGTGTGCAGGGATCTATAAATAGCCCCAGTCTGGCATGATCAGAGGAAGTGGCGATAGTTCAGTGTGTGTGTTGAGTCTCAGCCAAAGGAGCCACATTACAAACCCCCAAAAAAGAGCTTGTGCTGTTTGAATGTGCACAAAAACAAGCTGATTTATGTACAAGGTCACAATGTCACCTTTTCCTTAGAGTGTATGTGTGTGTGTGTTTGCGCATGACTGATGATTGTTGATTTTGGGTGATTAATCGAAGGCATTGATAAGAGGCCACAATATCTTGGCTGTCTCAAAGTGTGTGTGAGAACTAGACAGCTTGGCGCTTGTAGAGGTCTTGTTATTCTGACAGAGTGTGTGTTGGCGGTTTCACAAAATGATGAAATGAAGGATGATATGACTTTTTGCTTAAAGGTGCAGTAAGGAATGTTCGAAAAACGCATTTGACCACAGGGTTAGGACAAATGCCAAAACACACTTGCAGCCAATCAGCAGTAATGGGTGTGTCTAGTATGATACTGGAAATCAGGGTTGCCAAGTCATTGGGCTGCTTTAATTATTTGCCGCTGGTTGTTGTTTTTATAAGTTTGACATATACAGTGGGTATAGAAAGTATTCAGACCCCTTTAAATTGTTCACTCTATGTTACATTGCATCATTTAAGTTCATTTTTCCCCGCATTAATCTACACACAGCACCCCGTATTGACAGAAAAACACAGAATTGTTAACATTTTTGGAGATTTATTAAAAAAGGTCCTCTCCAGTTCTAAAAGGTTGGGTGGTTATCGTTGGTGGACAGTGATTGTTAGGTCTCTCCAGAGATGCTTAATTGGGTTTAAGTAAGGGCACTGGCTGGGCCATTCAAGAAAAGTCACGAAGTTGTTGTGAAGCCACTTCATTATTTTAGCTGTGTGTTTAGGGTCATTGTCTTATTGGAATGTAAACCCTTCGGCCCAGTCTGAGGTCCTGAGCACCCTGGAAAAGGTTTTTGTCCAGGATATCCCTGTACTTGGCTGCATTCATCTTTCCCTAGATTGCAACCAAATTTTTATTCAACCAATGATAATAAAAACTCTGCTAGGATGATGAAGGTACAGTTTTGTGAGATGTAGGGGGTCTAGAGGAGAGACAGTATTTGTAAGTGTTTTCGTTTCTATACAGAAAAAGTTTGGCAGAACTTTTCAGGATTGTTGTTAATTAATAACTAACAATAGATATGTAATTTAAAGACAGTCGATTTACAATTTAATAATTTTTCATTAATAATTTAATTAATAATAATTAATATCTTGAATTTTTATGGTAAATTCAAGTAATAATCTTGAATTTATATGGAATTAATATATTTAAGTCATTTTTATGATAACAGAACCTTTTTAATTGCTACTATGTAGTTATTGTCAAAAAAGAGACCATTTAAAATCCATTTATGAAAGAGGGATTGCATATATTGAGTTTTGGGCTGGATTTGTTTGCGAAAACCTGGCAACCCTGCTGAAGATATCCAAAAAGGATTTGATGGGTTATGGATGTGTTTGATCAGCATCTTTTTAATTGCTACTTTACGGGGGTATTTTTTAAAGAAGAAACCATTTATAATCCATCCAGTGATGGAAAAAAGGAAGAAAAACTAAAATAAAATAGGTGACAATATACAGCCAAAGTGCTCTGCTAAGATTATAATATTGCTTTATACAACAGTTAGACTGCGTAATTGTGTTCATAAAAAAGAGAATTTAACACGGAGTCTAAAAACACTTTTGTACAAGAAACTTTCACGATTCATTCACATCTGCAGCTGACTTCAGAACAGCAGAAACTGTTGCTCATTCACCAACACCACTTTAGAGATAGTATTTGTATGATTCTCTAGCATAAAGTCTAAAGTAATGACAAAACAGGTGATTTTGCTGACATTTTAAGATTGTAAGGCATAAAATGCCATCAGTCTGCAGAAATTTCCCAGTATTTCTGTTGCAATCAAGATTTCACAATAATTAACTTTAAAAAAAAGCCAAATCAAACACTACCAGATTACTATGGTATAAATCCAGCACTACAACATACAAAATAAAGAGATCGACTTAGAATGTCACTTACCTTTTTTATAATGGTTTGCTCTGCTGTAGTTTCAAACTTTTTACTGAGAAAAGGCTGTTTTTCTCCCCTAATGATGTATTATGCGGTCTCTGTCGCCATCTTATGGCGGAATGTCAACTGTCTTTGCTCTGCTCAGAATGACAGGCTGGCCACTGTTTTGCTGAATCTCCCAAAATTATGAATTTTTAAAAAAGGCACTATCCTTATAAATAAACTGCATAGTTGCAACAAAAAACAAAACAAAAAAAAAGCCTCAAAAGTACATTATGTTGTCCAACAGCTGCAATATTTGAGTATATTTTCATTATGGGTGTTATTGGGCTAGTTTTGGGCTGGATTTGTTTGCAAAAACCTGGCAACCCTGCTGAAGATATCTAAAAACGTGTTAAGTTATAGACGTGTTTATTTTGGTGCTTTCAAATATCAACATAATTTGGCAAAATTCACTAAATGCACCATTAACTTTGTGTGTGTGTGTGTGTGTGTGTGTGTGTGTGTGTGTTTACCTCTGTGTTTTCTAGGAAGAGGAATTGGAGCGTTTGGAAAGGGAATTTGCCATTCAGTCTCAGATAACAGAGGCAGCACGAAGGTTAGCATCAGATCCTCACATCAGCAGCAAGAAACTGAAGAAACAGAGGAAGACGTCATATCTCAACGCTCTGAAGAAGCTGCAAGACATTGAGAACGGCATCAATGAATATCGCGTTCGCTCCGGGAAGAAACCCACACAACGTGCCTCTCTCATCATAGAGGGTGAGGAAATACTTTCGCTGTGTGTGAGTAAAGATGCTTTCAGGAAGCTCCTGTGAGTTCATTATGCGTTTCCTCTGTAAAGCCTCATCATGCTGAGAGCAGGGGTAATCGCACTTTCCCAAAGACCTATAAAACAGTGTGAACAGATGTGTCTGTGTGTGACCTCTGCTGCGAAAATTCATTTAACACACTCTCGTGTTTATGCTCAGGTGTCAATGATTTGTATTGGTGTGCAAGAGTTTTTACCTAATAATTGTTTTTGTCTTTGTCTGGCAGAAGCAAATATCGGCTCAGAGGACAGCTCTCTGTCTGACGCACTGGTGCTAGACGATGGTGAGTTTTGTACGCTTTTACACACCAAAAACGTTTATGTCTGTGATCTAAATTTAAATTAAAGCACGTTGTGTTTAAACAGTCTAGGTGGATCTAGGTTGATCACACCTGCCAACCTTTCCACATAATACATAATAACAGTTTGTAACCCTTTATTGCCTTGAGTTTTAACAGTGACTACCAGGGCTTGACATTAACACTACGCCATTCGGGTAGATTTCCACTCTGACGGGTTAGTCAGCCACTCCCACTAGCCACTTTGGCAGGTTGAAAATCATTTTTAAATTGCCAGCACTAGCTGGCATTGACAACATGCGTGCAAATGTGATCTTAGAATCAAGAGACAGCACGACTAAAGCTGCGGTCACACTACAGTTTGTGTGTGCAAAATTCTGTCGTACAGCGCTGTGAAAAGGGGCGGGATTAAACAAGCTTATTAGACATTTAAAAAAGTGAGTGATTGCTCCAGAGATGTCTGTCCAGAGAGGTCATGTTTTGATCCTCAACTGGTCTTACGCAGGTCAGAGTTCACCAAGCTTGAACTTTGCACCGCAGCAACCTGCGAAACTTTACGCATGACCCCGCATTTCCGGTCTGACGCATTCGTGTGCGTATGAATGGAAGTCTATTGGAGGAAAAGCCCAGTGTGTCAATAATGCGACTAAAATCGGAATACTCCACATGTCTTAATTCAATTTTTGTTTAGTTCGATTATGACCTTAATCAGATTGAATTAATCAAAATTTGCTGTTTACATGGTCGACTCTTAATCAGAGTATTGTCTTAATCATATTAAAATCGGATTATTGGTTTCCATGTAAATGTACTCATTGAGATTGTTGTATACATGTAGGCATCTGTCCCTCATTTAGTTATATACTTATTATTATTATTATTATTATTATTCAATTTACAGGGTTTTTCATTTGCTTAAGTGTGTACATATACAGTTTTTTTTCCTTTCCATCTCTGTTGCTGATGGTTGTTGTTAATGTTTGTAAAATGTAAAAAAAAATGTTAAATAAATAATTTTAAAAATAATTTTGAAGCAAAATTTGTGAAAAAGGAAATTAGGGCAGGATTTAATATTATCTATGTATATAATTATTAAATAGTAATAATAATTGATAGTAAAAAGGTGGGTGTTGCAAACCATAATTGATCTAGATTAACCATGATATTGCCGTTACCAGACAAACTGTTTGCAATTTTGGGCGGGTTTGGTTTTATTTATCAGTATTAAGTCATGTGCAGAAAAGTGGGTGTTACAAACCACAATGAAGCCTGATAAACTATGGTTTTGTGCACTGTTTGTTGTAGTGTTAGTCCAAATATAAAAAAAATAAGTTATAAGAAATATTATAATAAATTTAAAAAATATTATTTTGCTATATATAACAATTTATACATGCAAACAAAGTAGTTTACCTTTTCAGAACTCTTTTATTTGGCACAATAGTAATTAATATGCTATTCAGTTGGTATTTTATTTGATAAAAATCATCGTCACGGTTTGATTTTGATCATATGTAATGAATGAAATTGTAAAAAAGCATGTGTTGTAAACAAGACTAAAGCCAGAACTGGTGTTATTCTTATAAATATTCATGAGAATAGTCAGAAAATGTTCATCAAATCATTTTAGGAACTGTTTTGGATTTCTGCCTTTGACAGTGTCCCTGAAAAGAAGTTCTCATTTGGATTATCTATTTTTTACGTAACATAAAATGTTTTTGTTCCCAAAATTAGTCTTACTTCTCTCTCATTCTTCACTCCAGATGACTCCCAGGTGACTGGAACCCCCACGTTCTCTCCGGCTGCCTCTCCACACAAGGGTCTCCCTCCCCGACCTCCATCCCACAGCCGGCCACCCCCACCACAGTCCCTGGACGGACTGAGACATCTGCACTATCAGCGCAGTGACTACGACAAGTCTCCGATCAAACCACGCATGTGGAGTGAAAGCTCATTAGATGAACCCTACGAACGAGTGAAGAAACGCTCCTCACACTCCAGGTAGACATTTTCTTTTGTGCTCAGAATGAATGGTTTGGTGCACATTTAAATGAATGAATGAATGAATGATATTTATGAATGTCTCCTTAGTAGTCACAGACGGTTCCCTAGCACAGGCAGTTGTGAGGCAGGAGTGAGCAACTCTCTCCAGAACAGCCCTGTACGCTCCCTCCCTCACTGGAACAGCCAGTCCAGCATGCCCTCCACCCCTGACCTGAGGACACGGAGCTACGTCCATTCGGCCAGGTAGAGAGACACACACACTCCCAAACCAATGCCCTATGCTGTCATCATAAGAATGTTAAAGGTGCAGTAGGTGATCTGCCAAAATGCTTACTGGTTAACATATTATCTTTGGATGGCGGGGGGGGGGGGGACTGTCAAAGCCACACCTCACGAAATCACTTCTTTACTTTCCTCAGTCTGACTCAGCCGTTCCGGGGCCGCAGCTCCAGTCTGGAGTCTCAAGGGAAGCTGCTCTCCTTAGAGCCGGACACTGAAGCAGGACTCAGCCCTGACCTGTTTCTCTCGGGCCCCCAAAGGACAGGAAGCAATGGCTCTGTGGTCCCAGATGACTGCTCGTCCTGCACCAGCCACTCCAGCTCAGAACATTATTACCCTTCGTCCACCTCCAACCCCAACTACTGTACACTGGCAGAGGACTCGCCCTCCAAAGCCCGACAGCGGCAACGGCAGCGGCACAAGTCTGCGGGACACCTCGGCGCATCCAGCTCCGGCAGCATGCCGAACTTGGCAGCCCGAAATGGCAGCACCCATGGAGGAGTGTGTGGCAGCCATCAGGGAGTTTACCTGCACAGCCAGAGCCAGCCTTCCTCACAGTACCGCATTAAAGAGTACCCGTTATACACCGAGGGCAGCAGCCCTAACGCTGTGGTGGTCCGCAGTTTGGAGAACGACCAGGAGGGGCACTACAGCGTCAAGGCGCAGTTCAAGACCTCCAACTCATACACAGCTGGAGGGCTTTATAAGGAGGGCTGGGGCTCCGGGGAGGATGGGGAAGCGGGTGGTGGTGGTGGTGGAAGCGGGAGGTTGACGCCGTCCCGTTCACAGATCGTGAGGACTCCGTCGCTGGGCAGGGAAGGTGGAGGTGGCGGAGGACGGGCGGCGGTGTCGGAAGAGCTGCGGTGCTGGTACCAGCGCTCGTCTGGATCCATTAAAGAGCACAGCCGCGTCACACATACCAGCTCCAACTCTTCAGACGGACGCGGAGGACGGATAGGAACGCTAGTCAAGGGGTCACCAGGTGAGCAGATCAAATATTAAATAATAGTGAGGCTCTTTTCTGCTGTTTTAGGACTTCAGATTTATTTGCATATGGTGAAATGACTAGGAATAACAAACGGCAATAAGCGGTCAAGCTACTTGCTCCACAAGCAAATGTGTTTATGGCTATGTATAAGTGAAGTGTATTTATAAACTAATTTCGAGAGGATCACATGCTTATGATTGCTTGCAGCTGGTCCCGCATTATACAATCTATGATTCACCAATCAGACGATTCCTAAGCCATTATAAATACCCTAAGTTCTATATCACAGCCATCTTCATTTTGAAGAATCCCCCCTTCCACCCTCTACTTCTCCTCCTTTCCTAGATGGGTGGCACGGTGGCCCAGCACTTTTGCCTTACAGCAAGAACGTCACTGGTTCTAGTCCGTACCAAGCCAGCCGACGTTTTTCTGTGTGAAGTTTACACATTCACCCCGTGCTCATGTGGGTTTCCCCCGGGTTCCCCGGTTTCCTACCACCAGTCAAAAACATGCAACTTAAATAAGTAAATTGACTAAAATTTAAGTAAATTGACTAATCCAAATCGGCACCATAGGCATGCTCCAAGTAAGCAGTTATCTCTTAAGAGCAATCCCTGTCTATATAACGGTGCTTATAATTGGTGGGTGCGACAAAATTTTGGCTGATGCGCCTAAATTTTTAAAGTGTTACCAAGCAAAAAGGTTCATTTCGAGCTCTTTACAAACATACATACATACATACATACAAGTATTTTTCTTGCACAGAGAATTATGACTGTTGTCTTTGTCGAATTTCAGACCACCTCATAATAGTGGCAGTGACAATTACTGACAGACACTAGAGTGATGCTTAAGCACCTGTTATTTTGGCCGTTAAAAAATAAAATATATTATATATTACATTTTTTATATTACATATAGGCTGCATTAAGGTTTATGTTCAAATATAGCCCATGTTTTCATTTGTCAATCAATGCATCAATTTTATTCAGTTTAATATATCTATCCATAAATCAAAATGGCGTATCATCAGGGAATTGGAGATTACTGTAAATAAACAGATTAACAAGTCATGTTGAATTTAATTACATTTAATTTAAGTTTTTTTTAGCTTGATTTGAGCCAGGAAAAACCCTATCACTTTGGAATTTAGAATAACGTCATTAGTTTAAGAGACGATCTGACCAGTATTTATTCATTTTCTTTTCGGTTTAGTCCCTTTATTAATCTGGGGTTGCCACAGCGGAACAAACCGCCAACCTATCCAGCACATGTTTTATGTCAGCGGATGCCCTTCCAGCTGCAACCCAACACTTTGAAACTGACATCCGTAATTCAATGAAATAAATGTATCTTTATTGATTAATTCACTCTGACATGTTTTCGTGACTTTAGAAACTTAAATTAGATTATTAAATTTTTCACTTAAATAAAGTAAATAATTTTTATTTTAGTAGGTGGCACGATGGCTCAGCGGTTAGCACTGTCGCTTCACAGCAAGAAGGTTGCTGGTTTGAGTCCCGGGTCTTCATGCTGGTTTGAGTTTGGTATTTCATTGTGGAGTTTGCATGTTCTCCCCCTATTGGTTTCCTCCGGATGCTCTCAGTTTCCCCTCAAAGTCCAAAGACATGCGCTATAGGTGTATTGGAGGATCTAAATTGGCCGTAGTGTACAAGTGTGTTTCTAAATGAGTATGTATGGATGTTTCCCAGTACTGGGTTGCAGTTGGAAGAGCATCGGCTGCGTAAAACATATGCCGGAATAGTTGGCGGTTCATTCCGCTGTGGTAACCCTTGATATATAAGGGACTAAGCCGAAGGAAAATGATGAATTAATTTTGGAGCCCTGGGAAAAGAAAATGAGGTTGAAAGGGGGAAAAGTCTATTCATCACATCATATTATTTTACCTTATTTTCACATTGCAACCTCTTTTCAGGTATTTTAATGCATCAGACGGGTTTATATAGAGCATTGTGTACTTCAGGTAAATTTTATATCCTTTTATTTATTCATTCATTCAATTTCTTTTCCGTTAAGTCCCTTTGATAATCTCGGGTGAAACTTATCCAGCACAGCTGCAACCCATCACTGGGAAACACCCACATACTCCCACACATATACTATGGACAATTTAGCCAATTCACCTATAGCGCATGTCTTTGAACTTGTGGGGGAAACCGTAGCACCCGGAGGAAACCCATGTGGGGAGAACATGCAAACTCCACACTGAAATGACAACTGACCCAGCCGAGGCTCGAACCAGTGACCTTGCTGTGAGGCAATTATGCTACTCACTGTGCCACCATGACGTCCTACATCCTTCCATGTGTCCTTCAATTAAGTTCTATACATTCCTCATTGTTAAATACATATTCATGCCATAGCAAGGATTTACTGTGTGTGAAAACCAGAGAGTGCTTGAATGAGACCTTTTAATGTGTGTGTGCGTTTGTACGTGTACATGTGTATGGAAGCAGTCAGGGTGGTCTGGTCAGTGTTTGTGTGTGTGTGTCGTGGGGATTATCACCTCTCTCTGGGTGGCAGAAACACTCCAAACCTTTTCCAACAGCTCAAGAGGGTGCTGGCAGCAAACAGTCAGCTTTATCTCTGACATGTTCAGCACGTGTATAAGCATATGTGTCTGTAGATGAGCTGCACGCATTAGGGTCTTACAGTGCTGTGTGTGTGTGTTTCAGCTGCGTCTCCACACAGTCAGAGGAGTGGTACACCCTGCAGTGACCCTGCAGCTACGCCCCCCTGCAGCCCGCAACACATACTCAACTGGCAGAGCGGGTAAGACATGTAATCAGCGGGGCCTTCATCCTCAGATTAAGAGTTTGCCAAAAATATGACTAAAACTACTCGAATCTAAAGCTACTATATGTAACTTTTGATAGATTATAAATAAAGCTGCGTGAGTAATACAGGTATTTAGTTACAAAAAAAAACAGGTATCAACTGATTTAAAGGGCACCTATTTTACCCCTTTTTTAAGATGTAAGATGAGTCTTTTGTGTCTTCAGAATGTGTCTGTAAAGTTTCAGCTCAAAACACCCATCACATTATTTATTATTCCTTTCTGAATATGGGATATTTGAGCTGATAGGACACTGTAGCTGTTTTTGTAGCTGTTTTTCGGGTGGGTTTTGGCTAAATTTCTATCATTTTAGACGGGGTCTGGCCGGGCTTTTGCTTGCGCAGTAAATGAACAGTCATGTGATGCATTTCAATTAACATGAGAAAGTAATCAAATCATTTGTTACAACATTAAAATCCCTTCCTGCAAAGGTGAAACAAGCGCTGACGGAGAAGTCAAAAAGAGCGAGTTTTGACTGAGGTCAGGCCAGTCTCCAGTTTAAAAAGAACCATCATTCTAGCCACCAAGGCTGAATATCATAATTGTACATTTCACAAATCTGGAAGAAATGTCAGTTTGTAGTCTATATTTTATTAGCATTTAGTCTAATTAACACTAATAGCATATAGCCCTCTAGTATTCATGTGTTAGAGAGGATGCAGCATCTGTTTATTTCATTTAGATATATTAACCAATCAGAATCAGGTCATAAACTAATACATGTCACAAAGGACAAATTTCACTCTCAATTATTGCAAATAGTAAAAAAAAGAAACCGTTTTATCAGCAATTTCATGGTGAATGTGCTTTTAGAGAAGGCTTTTATGGTTGTCCATGCACATGATGTACACTGAGAATGTTGAATATATACACACACGTTTTTATTTGTGCTGTTTTGAGTTTCTTCCAAGATTGAACAATTGTTTTTTCCAAGATTGCACAATTTATCATTAGACTGCACAGCTTTGTGGGTATTTAGTCCAAATAAAAGTCTAAATTTGAGATATTTGAGGATGCTGGTCAAAGTCTGGAGCACATTCTGTTGGTTTGGTTGTCCAGCTAACTGTACCAATGCTTTGTGTTTGTTCCCTTTAATATTGTGTAACAGAACTACCCCAGTGTCAGAATTACACAACTCACTCTGCATTAACTGATCACGGCTACCCACAAACTCTAACCTCTATCTCTTTGTGTGTGTTTGTGTGTGTATGTGTGTGTCTCACTAACCCACCTCTGCCTGAATGTGTATGTGTGTTGTGTGTTTTCTCGGGCAGTGATACGACTGAAAGTTCTCCTACTGAAGACCGTTCTCCCTCTCACCAAAGCACTGACCAGTAGAGAGGTATACTCTCTCTCTCTCTCTCTCTCTCTCTCTCTCTCTCTCTCTCTGCATGATCTGTATCTCACTCTTTCACTACTACACGGCTGTCATTTTCTTGTGTCGGGTTTTAACTTGTGACTGAATTTGTATTTATAATACAAATTTTATATCTGGGCAAAACCTTAAAATTATAGGGAGTATGGTGAGAATTTTCTAATTAAAAAAATAATCATTTTGATTGGAGGTATTTCACTTTTCTTGGGAAGAGCAAGAAATAAATGTGAATACTAAAAGTAAAAGAAAAAAAAATATATATATATATATATATATATATTTTTTTTTTACTATATATATATATGTATATATATATATATATATATATATATATATATATATATATATATATATGTTCTCAGCATAAATGAAGTTACATCCCTTTTGAACATGAATATTTTTATTCTTTTGTCATTGAATATAGGCAATAATTTTTGATGCAGTTTTATTAAAGAGTTATATCCATTAAAATATGAGTTGTGTCACCAAATTCAAACGAATAATTGGAATAAATGACAATAAAATATGCTACTCAATTTCAACTAAATTAGATATTGTTTTTTATTTCTCTTGATGTTTCCTGTTTATTCAAACTGTATTTATATTTTTTCTCCAACATATTTGGTGTTACACTGTGATCTTCACTCTGTTAAATTAGTTCTAGTTTTGGCTTTGGTACTTCTAAAAGAGCGATATGAGGGGTGAACTTTGAGCACTGTGTGTGTGTGTGTATATATATATATATATATATATATATATATATATATATATATATATACATTAGGGTCGTCATGCTACTAAAATTCTGCACCAGTCGGTACTGAAATTTTAAACGCGTCCATTTCCCCAGAACATTTGAGTGCTGTTGAGCACATTCTTAAACACTGCAAAAACAGGGTCACTGACAGCCTATTCACAGTGGCTGTTTCTCAATTCTAACAACGCAGAGAACGGACTTGCGCTCTTGTGAAGACCGGTCTTGCTAGGTCACTTTAGAGGAACGAACGTGGGAGACCGCGAGGACAGAGAACGCATCCTGTGAGAAATGAGATGCTGTGTTCTTCCTGATGGTCACATGACCTTCATGCATCTTTAACCAAAAATGATTTAAACATTACAGCATTCATACAGCGATTTATTGTTGTTACACTTTTCACAATATATACTATGCATAAAAACTTTATAAATATACATTGCATAATATAAATAAACAGATTTTAATAGGAATTTCAGCAAATAAGCACCCCTAATGTGTTCATTCCTTTATCAAGATTTTCATCGTAATGTTTATATTCACTGTCTCATATAGGGAAACTCCCGAGATAAATAAGTTAAATCTCTGAACTTTAAGAACAAACCTATATAAAATGCTGCGCCTCCCACCTCTAGTCTAGACTTCTGGGGCTTGTAGAGCAAGTTCAGTCCTAAAGTCTGCATCCATGCGTACTCGATATCAAGAACACATCCGGGAAGTTTCACGCATTCTCTGTTTTTGTCATCTTGAGAATTAGAACTGAACTTTGGCAGTTGATAATGATGTTACAGGAGAACACGAGGACAAAAGATCGCTGAAGAACGTATATTGAGAAACAGCCGAGGTATCAGCGTCAATGCTTCACATTCACTTGGGTGGATGGGTGACGTCAAGCGTTGCCAAACTGAATTGTGGACCCATCGGCACTGCTTCAGTGGCGTTGCTCGCTGCAGAAGCTGGGACTTTCTCAACTTTTTTAAGCGCCAACGGAAGCGTCAGCCAATCAGATTGCTGTATGCAAAAACACCAGCTCAGACTGTAGCCGATTGCTGACTAATTTCATTGGCTGACGCTGTTATGACGATCACTTCAGCCCCAAATTCAGATACGCCCTCTGTCAATCGTCAACGCTGAAGCCCCGTGTTAATCGGGCGTCAAGCATGTAAAAGCCGCGATTCATGAGCGGATCACTCATATGTCAGCTTATTGACAAACCAGCTGATCGACGTGACTTTGAAACGCTCCATTGTCTTTGTATCTGTGGTTACTCTCAGTTAATAGTGGTGAGTTTGGTGAACTAATGACCTTCAAGGCCAGTCACAGTCATTTCTGTTGAGCATATGAGCACAATGGCAAATCTGCGCTGTTTAAGAACGCGATCAACAGCGCTCAGATGTTAGCGAGAAATGGACGTGCTTAAAATTTCTGTATCGATTAGTACCGAATTCCAGTAACGTGAAATATATACTTACATGCATACATTTGTGTGTGTATAATATTAAATGATCAATTATTTCTTAAAAATATGTTATATTAAGGATTTAACAGAAGAATTGTTACTTAATTGTGTGAGGTATTTCACATATAAAGTTTACACACAAAAATATAAACCTACTAGCAGTGCCATGATGTCTGACTCTTTCCTCTATGTCTCCTTTCAGATCACCGTTTGCCGACATTACTTTTCTGAGCAGTCCCCTGTGCTCTGAGCTAGCAGACGTACAGTGGTACGGGCACGAGAAGGCAAAGCCGGGAACGCTCGTCTAAACCGTCATCCCTCATCCCTCTCTCTTTCAAAGGGTGTTCAGAAGGGCAGGCCTGACCACAGCCTGGACCTCAACTCATCGCAACACACCTGTGGCTGGAGCCAGTACCACCTCGACCTCTCCTTCCTCTCGTCCTCTCTGTCTATCCGGCGGTACAGTGCTTATGAACTATGGGAATACAAGAGTCTGAATGAACTGAGCTTGACCTTGTCTAAACCTCCCTCTCGGATTTTTGAACTTTGACCCAGTTAGCTGGCAGCCGGTTCCTCTAAATGCACAAACTCATCCATCGCTGGAGTGATGTGTGTAAGAAAGACGTCTTATGCGCGCGTTGTACTATAAGTAAACCCCACTCATGCACATACACACACACATGCTCAAATAGACGTATTGGTCCCCTGCTGTCGTGTGTGTTCCTCTGCACCGATGCCAGAGAGCCCATGTCATCCTCTCTCATGCACAAACGCACATTCCGATGGATTGCTTTGTCGTCAACCATTTTTGTAGATCTTTACGTTCTCAGTGTGTGACCACAAGCCCCTCCTTCATCCTACTGTACCTCTTCTGATTGGACAGGAGCACATCAAAAGCCCCTCCTTCATCCTAAAGCGCCTCTTCTGATTGGATAGAAGCACATCAAAAGACTCTCCTTCATCCTACAGCACCTCTTCTGATTGGACAGTAGCACATCAAAAGCCCCCCCTTCATTCTACAGCTTCACTTCTGATTGGACAGGAGTATATCAAAGGCCATTCCTTCATCCTACAGCACCTCTTCTGATTGGACAGGAGCACATCAAAAGCCATTCCTTCATCCTACAGCGCCTCTTCTGATTGGAATGGAGCACATCAAAAGCCCCTCCTTCATCCTACAGCGCCTCTTTCGATTGGACAGGAGCACATCAAAAGCCCCTCCTTCATCCTACAGCGCCTCTTCTGGCTGAACAGGATTACATCATAAGCCCCTCCTTCATCCTACAGCGCCTCTTCTGGCTGAACAGGATTACATCATAAGCCCCTCCTTCATCCTACAGCGCCTCTTTCGATTGGACAGGAGCACATCAAAAGCCCCTCCTAAATCCTACAGCGCCTCTTCTGATTGGATAGGAATATATCATAAGCCTATCCTTCATCCTACAGCGCCTCTTCTGATTGGATAGGAATATATCATGAGCCTATCCTTCATCCTACAGCGCCTCTTCTGATTGGACAGGATTACCTCATAAGCCTATCCTTCATCCTACAGCGCCTCTTCTGATTGGACAGGATTACCTCATAAGCCTATCCTTCATCCTACAGCGCCTCTTCTGATTGGACAGGATGACCTAACAAGCCCTCATAAGCTCCTCTTCATTCTACAGTTACTCTTCTTATTGGACCATAGTACATTAAAACTCCTCCTTCATCCTTCAGAACTTTTTCTAATTGGACAAGAGCACATCAAAGGCCCCTCATTCATCCTAAAAAGCCTTTTCTGATTGGACAGGAGCACATCAAAAGCCCCTCCTTCATCCTACAGCGACTCTTCCTATTAGACCATATTGCATCAACAGCACCTCCTTCACACTACAGCGCCTCATCTGATTAGACAGGATTACATCACAAGCCGCTCCTTCACCTGACAGCGACTCTTCTTATTGGACCATATTGCATCAAAGGCACATCCTTCATCCTACAGCGCCTTTTCTGATTTGACAAGAGTGCATCATAAGCCCCTCCCACTGTTTGTGAACTTGATATTTTGTGAGCATTTGAAAAGCTGTTCTTGGATTTGAAAATGAGCCCTGATTTTTATATATCGCTCGAGATGCTGACGCTGCTAAAAGCGCCACAAACTGCGTCGAAACTTTGTACGTAATGTTGGTTCGTCAACCTCTCAACGTCACTGATTCCGGTTCAGGAAGTTCAACCGTATTTCTTTGCAGAACATAGCTAACTTTTAGAAGCCATAGCTGTACAAATCTGACACGTTAGGTTAGAGGCATTAGCATGATTATCTGCGTTGAACGACCAATCGGTGAACTCAGGCCGCGTACTTTGCTACTGCGTCACACTCGCCATCATGGTGCTCTGAGCCTGAACACTACATCCCACAATGCCCTGCTGTACGGCCCACACTGCATGCAGAACCATCGCAATCCCCTGCGTATAGTGTTGTGACATCAGTGAAGAAAAAAAAAACTGTCTCCGAACACTCCTGGCCTTATCGGTTTTGTTTTTACGTGTCTGTTTTTTAATATTTGAGATTTTACTTAACTGTAACACCGTTGTGACATGCGTTCGTATTTATTAAGTCAGATGAGCACAACGCAACGTGGCACACCGACACAATTTTTCAATGACCTCTTCCCTGACCTGCTTTCAGGAGAACAGCATTCCAGAATGTGATGCAGGTGCTTTTGTTTTCAAGAAAACACGAGCTCAGACAATACAGGGTGTTTCGT